CCTTGATAATATAGAACTCTTATCCAGAGATTAACCTTCGATTCTATTAAATAATCATCGAATAAAAGATATAATTGTATAATAATATACTGTGATCATTTAGACTTGTTATTAGGGACATTTTTTATTCAGGCAAAAATTTTGATAGAAAGCAAATCTTAAAATGATACTTTAAGACACATATCAATCAATATAGAGACTGGATCGAACATCATGTAAAGATTCTGAAGAGAGTAGCATCACGATAAGTTACTCAACATTAAAAAATCGTTACAATTTACGATTTTTTTTAAAAAAATCTTAAATTTCTGTTTTTAAATCACTTTTTTTTTTAAAAAAAATGATGTTTAATTTTACTTATTTAATATTCAAGCGAAGGGCAAATAATAACAGTTACTTTTTTTGTTTCATGTGCCGTCACTTATAATATGACAAAAAATATATAGTTAAGTGAAATCTTGAACTATTCGATTATTTTCGCACTTACAGACTAGAATTGCTCGCTTTAAGCCGGTTTTGTAAAAACCGCTAACTCGAGACATTAGCCTGAAAAATAAATCGTCTAAGACTCTAGATTCTGGCTAATAGATGTCCAAACTTTTTGCCCACTACGATCGACTTCTTCCATGCTGGCGCAAGATTTTTCTGGATAAAATATTGAATTAAGGCGTTTTTAAAAAATCGGCTTAAATTTAGCCATTTTAAACAACACTACTAGACATTTTTTTTAAATAGCCTATTCTCGTAAAATTGTTTATTATATTGTTAGGTGAGATATATCGTGAAAATTTTGATTTCTATCACCGAAAAAAAAATTGACAAAATTTGTAACGGAAATGTAACGATATTAAAAAAAAGAAGATATCGACCAGGATTTTTCTTAGAATTTTGTAGCTGTATCAGTTTTGATAATGTATTAAAATTTTTTAGTTAACCGGTTTTGCTATGGGCAGAAAGCTGAATCATATCTACTTAAGACTTTTGAAACAAAATTAGTTTAAAAATATTATATTAACTATAATATACCATATCAATATCATTAACTATGTAATTATTAATATTATTATATAAACCATCGTTAGTTAACCCTTCCTATCTTATTTAAAAGTTTTTTAAAAAAAATAATAATTCCCAATTGGTATACCAATTACATATACTTTTATAATATATTGTATACTTAAAATATTGTAAGTAACATTTTCTTTAAAAAAAATGAGAAACATATTACATATATTCAATATAATATATGTAATTGTAAATATAACGGTATAAGAAAAAAAAAGGCTTAAATAATGATATAAGGAGATTATTTTTTTCGTAATGATATATCGAATATCAAATTTTTTATTATCCTGATTTTTTTTGGAATGATTAAAATATGTATTATAAATAAATATATACTTTAAAATAAATATATTTTTCTTTATTTCTTAAAGAAATATTTATTATTTTCGTAGTCTAAAATAGAATTGAATTGAAATTCCCACAATAGAGATTTTTTATATGATCAAGGGATATAATGCGAGGTATGTGCAGCATTGAGTCATTAACCGTAAGTAAGCGTCACTAGAGGGTGGAGAGGAACTCAGGGGTTCGACCCCCTAAAAAATTTGAAGAGCCCCCCCCCCCTCTCCCCCGAGATTGTAAAGACTAGTGACGACACTGTATGCAAGAGTCCAAATGCTAAATATTCTGGGACTTAAATTATCATCAGATGGCCTGAGGGTCAGATCAATTTCAGTAACCCTTTGGTTCTTTAAGTAGTTGAAATATTTTCCTCTTCCCTTTCCACAATAGATATAATTCGAGTCCGATTGTTATTGCCACAAGACAAAAATATAAATAAATACTTAAAATAAACGAATTATTGTTTTTATAAACCTATCGCGAACTTTTCTTGAGGACATCGGTCAAGCGGAACTTAAGTTTTAAAAAATAACGTAGGCGGAAAAATTAGAATCATCAATTATTATCAGAATTTAGCAAAAAAAAATACAATTTAAAATATAATTAGGTGTTGGGGGGAGGGGAATTTGTATTTCTAATTCTAACTTCAGTTTTTGTAGCGTTTTTTTAAAAATTATATTTCCCTAAATTATCGTATCGTAATAGAAGTGTTTTTTTAAAAAAATATACATATTTTAATTTATACAATATGGAATATGAAATTTGAATCCCAAAAATAAATGGTATAGAATCTTTTATATTCAAATATTGTATATGTATAAAAAGCTAATGGCCAAATTTTAATTGCGTTAATATTTCCACCTGGTCATTAAAAGGGATAGTTTAAAACGAGCCAAAAAAATATCTTCATTAAAATAAGAATAATTTTTATAAATTTTTTAATATGGTGGAAAGGCTGGGGGGGGGGGGTATAAATGTCAGAAGTCAGAAACTAAATATTTTATTCCTAAATAAAAAGTAATCATTACAGTCTCAATACCCGTGTTAAATTTTTAGTAATTTCACTATCTTGGCATCTAACAAACTTTGGTTTTAAAGATTTATCAAAAAAAAAAATAATTGTTAGGAATTTATATATAGATACAGGGGGATCTAATTTTCTTCTATTGATAATAGAAAAGCAAAAGATGAAACTAATTAAATATAGATATTTTTTTCTTCTCATCTTTAGATGCAAGCCTAGACCGGAAAAATCATTGGAATGAGTTTAACTTGTTAAAAGCAGATCTAATATTCCCTGGCATAGACCCATAGATGATCTGGAAGAGGTCTTTGCTAATGAAAATAAGCTCACGCATAATTTATATATTTTATAAATTTCGCAAATTTTTTGGCAAAATCCCTAATGCACAAGATAAAATAAAAAATATATATATATATCAGATCAAAGGCTAATATTTGTAAGGTCCGGCCCGGATTTTATTATAAAATATTTTATGGCCTGGCCTGGGTTTTTTAAAAAAAGGCAGACCCGTGAAACCTGTGAGCTGGGCCGGGGACTTGCAGGTCTCTGATATCGTATAAGAGTTCCATATTTATTGACAAACAAAAATTCTTATTATTGAATATTCAAAAAAAATATAACAATGATTTTTAAAGAAACAAAATATTACTTTAGCTCTCGAGATTTCTCACTCACTCCTTCTCTTCTCTTCTCTTTTTTCTTCCTTCTATCTCTTTCTTCTCTTCTCTTCTTCTCTCTCTCTTCTTCTTCTCTTCTTCTTCTTCTTCTCTTCTTCTCTTCTCTTCTTCTTCCTCTTCTTCTTCTTCTCCTTCCTCTTCTCCTTCTCTTCTCCTCTCCTCTCCCTCTCCTCTCCTCTTCTCTTCTCTCTCTCTCTCTCTCTTCTCTCCTCTCCTCTCCTCTCCTCTCCTCTCCTCTCCTCTCCTCTCCTCTCTCCTCTCCTCTCCTCTCCTCTCCTCTCCTCTCTCCTCTCTCCTCTCCTCTCCTCTCCTCTCCTCCTCTCCTCCTCTCCTCTCCTCTCCTCTCCTCTCCTCTCCTCTCTCTTCTCCTCTCTTCTCCTCTCCTCTCCTCTCCTCTCCTCTCCTCTCCTCTCTACTTTTTTGCCAGTGAGAAGGAGCCATTCTAAGCGATAATCATTACCAATATTTCAGTTCTGTAATAATCTAACACTTCACAATAGCTATAAACCCTTGCCACTGATGTTTATTTATTATTAATGGTTATTTTTGCCAATAAATAAAAAGAGGAAAAATCATTAATCCTTGGGAATTTCATATTTCATTAGTATTATAAATAAATATATATATATTACATTTATTATATCTTTATTAAAAAAAAATTTAATATATAAATATATTATGAAAAATCTTTTTTAACAAGTGGAGTGGCCTAGAAAAAATTAAAAAATTCTTTTAATAAATCTTATGAATTTTCAGATTTTTCATTATTATATTTGTAACAATTTTCGTGAACATAGTTTTTTAATAAGATTTTAATTATAAAATATATGATCAATTTTAGCTCATTCTTATGAAAACTGCAATATATAAATATATTTATAATATAATGGGAATATAAAATAGAAAAGAATTTTCGGGAGAGAAACCTAAAATTAACAATATTATGTAATAATATAATTAAATTTCTAATTTCATTTTTTCATGTAATGACAAATTATTTGATGATTGATCAAAATTTTATTATTACAGTGATGAAAACCAAATGAATTCTATAGACACTTGAAGGTGATTAACCAATAAAAATTTGAGATAAACCATTACATATTTTTCCTTGTTTTTCTTCCTTTTATTTTTTAATATGAAACTCTCTTAAAATGGGTTTGAAATAAGATATCTTAAAATATTTTTTCTAGATATAACATTGTATTTTAAACTTCTTGAAATAATTTATCTCAAAAAAATGGCGCCAATTCCTACTAAAGATTTTCGGATTTTGATCCCATATGATATTTGTTTAATAAAAAAAATATATATAAGTATGAAAACGGATTTACAATTCCACGAAGAAGATAATATCTGGCGCCACCCCTCCTTCCTCTTATGTGACAAATTGGATTTTTTTATTTAAAGAAATGTCTTTCCAAAATGAACTGAATGAAATAATAAGAAAGAAAGAAAGAAAGAAAGAAAGAAAGAAAGAAAGAAAGAAAGAAAGAAAGAAAGAAAGAAAGAAAGAAAGAAAGAAAGAAAGAAAGAAAGAAAGAAAGAAAGAAAGAAAGAAAGAAAGTGAGGATAATTTTTAACATAAATATGTCAATAGGATATTTTTTTGTTGGAATTATTTTCATTTTATAATGATTTATCGATCAATTAAATAATATTTTCCAATTTTTTATTTTTTTAAATATCAACAAATAAGTATATAAAAATATATTTTTATTAAAAAATAAATTGATTTGAGAAATATCATGGGGGGTTTTTTTTAACATTACATGAATAGGAAGTTATTAATATATTTATAAATATTAATATTTAAAATATATTTTAAAAATTAAATTAATATTTATTTTAAATATAAAAAAAAAGTGTTTAAGAATAAAAAAAAATAATAACTTCAACCTCCTGTGAAATGATCCAAAAGTGAATCTTTAGAAGGATGAATTTCTTTCAGCGATTTTATCATATTGGAATCATCATCTTTATAACCGTTTTTATCGAATTGACTTGGCTTCAGGATATTTCCATAGTCGAAAAAGTAAAAAAAATATATATGTATTTTCTTCTCTTCTCTTCTCTTCTCTTCTCTCTCTCTCTCTCTCTCTCTCTCTCTCTCTCTCTTCTCTTCTCTTCTCTTCTCTTCTCTTCTCTTCTCTTCTCTTCTCTTCTCTTCTCTTCTCTTCTCTTCTCTTCTCTTCTCTTCTCTTCTCTTCTTCTTTCTTTCTTTCTTTCATTCTTTCAATCTTATATATGTATATATACATTATTTTTAAATTTGATTTTAAATAAATATATTTTTTAAACTGAATTTCTGTATATAATTATTTATTTGAGTGAGTGTATATTTTCTAAGTTTTCATATATTATTATTAAAAAAAAAGGATTCATAATAGGTTTTAACGGGTATTTTTTTAAAAACTAAAATTAAAGACAAATAAAAAAAGAAAGAAATATGGAAAAGAAATTTCTAGAAAAATATTAGTTTTGTTAAACGGCCTTCATTTTTTAATAAGGAGATTAACCCAATTTAGCCAAAAAAACATTATGAAAGGTCTGGAAATTTAGCTCGTAGATGCCAGAAAGGATTAAGCATCTATTAGCGAAATCTCGAGACTTAGGCTGAATTCTCAACTTAAAATTGGCTAAATCTAACCGTTTAACAACACTATAAAATATGGACGAAAGGGAGAATGTAGAACGGAATACAAGATTAGGAAGCGAGGATCGGGAGATTATTCGGCGGAAGAGGGTGATCAGTTCTTTCCGTAACTAATTTTTAAAATATCTTCTTTATCTCGCAACTCCCAACTTTTTTCGTCTTCTTAGGGATCTTATTCCCTAAAATCTTTTCCTTAGATCCTCGAATACTTTATTAAAAACGTTTTTATATTTTCGATATTTATATATATAATAATCTTTACTTTTTATGGGCGCGGTTTAAAAGATAAAATAAAGTAATATTCGAATTTTATAATTTCTTTCCTTATTCAATCATTTTTTCTTTCTTTCTATTAATTAATTACCTTTATATTATCGGAATGTTCATCAAAAAATATAAAATTTTTTCTTTAGAATTTTTGGTATCAAATATTATGGCAAAATTTAATAATTCATATAAGACATACCAGGGCATAGCGGACCGGTTTTATTATAAAAAAAAATTCTTATAAAATCTATGCCCTAAATTTAATTTTTATAAAAATCAAGGGCACGTGAGACCAAATAACGGGGTACATTGGACCACCCATGAGGATCATTATAGAGTTATAGGAAATTCTCAAAATTTTTCAAATTTTAATAACAAAAATTTTTTTTTTTTATATAACAACGATATAAATGGTCCTACCTAACCCGGCCTGATCTACCCCAAAGTCCTCAGTCGGATAAAATTGATATAAAAAAAACAATAGATAATCTTATGATATAAAAACTAACACATGGGGGTAGGTTCAAACCTTCATTAGATATATCATAAGTTATATACTTAATCTTATTAGTAATAACTCCAGACAAAAATTAATCGAACAAATATTTATTTTTTTTTTTACATTTTTCGCAATAAAAAGCAAATTTTTTGAGTATACGAGTCTACGTAATATAAAATATTTTTTGGACCTGATGTATATTAGAGATCCTCAAACCCCCCCTCCCCTCCCCCTGCAGCCCGGTTCTGAGTAGGGTCTAAAAAGTTAACGAGCCGAGCCGGCTAAGATGCCCCAGGACGCTATAAGAGAGAATTGAAGTCTTATTTTGTTAAAATAATAATCATTTTCGCTTACAAATTTACTTGATTTAAATGACCCGCTAACTATAAATGAATTCAATTCATAAATACCAGAGTTGTTAAAAGATACTTTTTAAATGGGATCTAGATACGGATACATCGTCTAAAATAATATCTAGATACAGATATTTTAATCAAAAATCTATCTAGATACCGATACCACATTTTTGTATCTAGATACCTGTATCTAGATCCTTTAACAACTCTGATAAATACTAATTCTTTTTCTTTGTTTCCTAGTTTACTGCTCAAAATAAGAAATTCGTATCCTCATCATCATCGGTTATTCGTCGGGTCGGGTAATGCGACCCTGACTACAAAAAATTGAAATCGGGTTAGACCGGGCACAAATTTGAAGGGGCCCGCTCCAACAGGACCAGGACCTAAAAATTTTACCATTTGCAAAACCTACAATGTATATATCTGCAATTATTTATTATAGTATATAATTCTAAGCTCTCAGAAGAGAAGAGAAGAGAAGAGAAGAGAAGAGAAGAGAAGAGAAGAGAAGAGAAGAGAAGAGAAGAGAAGAGAAGAGAAGAACCTGGATTCATGTGCCCCATGGTCCGCTGTGAAGTCCTCACGAGAATCCGATCCACTACTTTTGGGCATAACAGTTCCTTTTTTTGTAACTCTTCAAATTTTCTGCGTCATACCTTGGGTTATGTATATATATTATGGATTAAAACATTTCTGGTGTGTGTGTGTGTACTTAATTTGGTTTTTTTTAGCAAAGCATTGTCAAAATAATTTAACATGAAAAATAAATTGAATAATAATAACATTAAAATTTTTTTATATATAATCGACTTGAAGGCGATTGTGAAATTATCTTAATTAGCGTAGCGTCCAATGATAATTTTTATCATTGTTACAATTATGTAAATGTGATAAAATGAATGCAGTTTTTAATATTTTACCAAAATATTTCATATTATTATAGCAATATAAAAGAAATTTAAATAAAGGTATAAAATAGAAGATTTTTTTTTCCAATAAAATCAGAAATCAATCGATAACAAATTCTACAATAGATAATAAAAATCTTTAACTCCATCTATTTTATGCGTAGTCATATTTTTTTTTTTTAAACATGATTATAAGTATAAATACACTAACAAAAGGCCATAGTTAGTATTGTCAAAAGGCTGGAAAATATTAGTCATTAACGTTTTTGGACATCTATTAATGACAATCTTAAGGTTTGAGTAACATTTAATTTGGTTATAATAATAATCTTAATTTAAAATTGGATAAATTTTAACCGACAAACACTACACATAGTATAAACAAAATTCGTTAACATTATAAATATTCACCTATTATAAGATAGAATCTGATATCTGGGGTAAAATTAATCTTTAACTTTGGTCCTCCTCTCATCATTAATGTTTCTAACGTCCGTTGACCATCTGATCAAACCAACACAAAGAAAAATTGAAATGCTTGGCTAAAAGTTTTTTTTAGTTATTTTGTTCGCATCAACTTTTATCTTGGCTTTTACGAACCCTCATGATTTACTTTTTTCTTTCTTTCTTTCTTTCTTTCTTTCTTTCTTTCTTTCTTTCTTTCTTTCTTTCTTTCTTTCTTTCTTTCTTTCTTTGAAAAAGAAGAACAAAAATTTCATACAATCATTCTGGTCGACCGGGCAATTACTTCTAACTCCTGTTTGGCGGTGGGAGTACATGGCGCAAGGATTCATCGAAATTAGCGGGAGTATGAAGTTATGACCACACTATCGTAATTTAAATAAAATTGGGGTGAGGGGGGGGGGGTCGAACTAATTTTTATTTGTTGAAGGGTCCTAAGTAAAATTCTTAGAAAGGGGAGGGGGGGTTTATAACTAGACTTAAAATTTTTTTTATCTGGATTGTAAAAATATTAAACAATATATGTTAAAACGATGATTTATATTTGACTCTCAAAAGTGAATTTTTTTTTACTCCTTTATAAGGATATAAAGAAAAAAAAAATTATTAATTTATTTGACTAAAAAACACTGTTAAAAAGCAAAGCTCTTCTTAACATAATTATCGAAATTTAAGATTGTATAAATATTTAAAAATTTCTCCCAAAAAAAAATATATTCTCGTTTATAAATGATGAAAATTTTTGTTTTGTTTTGTGTGTGTGTATTATAAGTTTCACGAATTTGTAATTAATTTATTTTTTAAAGAAAAAATTTTTAAAAAAAAATTTTAAGGGTTACAAAGATCAAATCAATAATGTAAATTAAGGCAATTAAAATCGTATTCAGAAAAAAACCAAAAATAATTGACAAAATAATATAAATAAGTGTATAGTGTAATGATAAATAAATAGATTAATTGATTCGTCGTTTCTTAAATAATTTATGTTAAGTTATTAGATAATTCCCTCTCCCACCACACATATTCCCCATAAATTAACTAGCTAACCGTAGCCTTTGAGTAAGACCATTTTCACTTTATGTTTCATGACCATCTTAAGCCCCGTTTTTCTAGGTCTCATTAGATGAGAGCTTATATCCTTCAGAACCATGTTTCTGAAAAATACTATTAATATATAGGGGCGGGGGTTCGGACACTTTTCGTTCCAACGTTAATAAATTTAATAATATTTACACTAATCTGGATAAATGGAACATCTTCTGAATCCTAAAGGTATGGGATACTTTAAAATTCTAATATATATTTTTATAAAAGCTATACTTTTTTTTGTTTATAATATGGCAGTGTTTTAAGCTTTATTAGTGGTTCGCCTTTAACCAGCAACTCAAATTCCAATTGGAGTGGACTAACGGTCCCATGTACACAACGTGCCCCGGTTTCCCCCTACTATTTGCTCTGTTATAAGCATTAAGTTCCCAATACCCTTTACCGTGGATTTTAGTTTTTTTCCCGTAATATTCGCGTAAAACCGTTTTTATCATCCTAGCCAGTTCTATTAGAGATTAAATCTCCTCATATCACTACCCCCCCCCTCTTATACAATCTCCCCAGACATTCACCCCAACAAAAAATAACTACAAATTGATTGGCCACAATTTCAAAAAAAAAAATCTTCTCACATTTATTTTCTTTTTTAAATTGACCAATCGGGAGCTTCTTTTGATCGGTGGCGATACAATTAAAACTAAATGCCAAATACAAAACATTTTAAAATAAAAAAAAAGTAACATGATAAATTATTCTCTTTTTTAAAAAAAAATACATATGAATTTAAACCATTAATGTAAAAAAGTAATATTCATAAAAATAAAAAGAGCCAATGATATCCAGAATGCTCCACTAGGGAATTATGTCACATTTATTCATTTTATTTTTCCCCTTACTTTTTTAATGTCGTAGTCCTAGCCAAAAAATTCATGCTCAATAAAAAAGAAAGAAAGAATTATACAAATAACATGTTTATTTGATTTTTTATGTGTTATTAATTATCATATTTTTGTAATTTTTTTGATTTTTTAAAATTATTATAAAAGTATAAGAAAAGAAAGAAAGAAAGAAAGAAAGAAAGAAAGAAAGAAAGAAAGAAAGAAAGAAAGAAAGAAAGAAAGAAAGAAAGAAAGAAAGAAAGAAAGAAAGAAAGAAAGAAAGAAAGAAAGAAAGAAAGAAAGAAAGAAAGAAAGAGAGAAAGAAAGAAAAGAAAAAACTTTTGGGGGCGAATTTGTCATTATTTAGCAAAATTACTGGTCCCCCTTCTCCCAGGGCTAAAACAACAAAAAATAAAAAATTTAGCAAAAATTTTATAAATAATTTTTGGCATAAAAAATAATATAAAAATTTAATTATTAATTAAATTTATTATAACAAATATACATCATTTTATTATATTATTTTATACATTTATTAATAAATCATTATAATATAAAAATATATAAAAAATACATATTCAATATTTAATGTAATAAATTAATAAAATAAAAATAAGAATTTTTTTATTTTGAAGATGATCACAAGTAAAAGATAAACGAACCAATAATATATAATATTATTTATATATAATAGACATAAAATTATTTGTTTTTAAATAATTGTAAGTTTACATTTTCTATATCAAATATTATTATTTATGTAAAAAAAATCACTATAAAATGATTTTTATTTTATTTTCTTTCGATTCTCTCTTCTCTTCTCTTCTCTTCTCTTCTCTTCTCTCTCTCTTCTCTTCTCTTCTCTTCTCTTCTCTTCTCTTCTTTCTTTCTTTCTTTCTTTCTTTCTTTCTTTCTTTCTTTCTTTCTTTCTTTCTTTCTTTCTTTCTTTCGGTTTAAATAATCATTTAATAAATATTTTAAAATGATAAAATGAAAATTTTAAAATGAGGTAACACCTATATTTTCAAACTTAAAAATCACAATTTAACAAATTTTTGAAAGAATAATTAGTATATTATCACGATTTTAATATATATTATTTTTTTTAAAAAAAATAAAAATGTATAAAATTATATATATAATTAGGTTTAATAAAATTAGCATATTTTTTGTAAAGATAGAAGAATTTAACTTGATTTATTAGAAATATAAAACGAATAGATTATCCGAGTTATTTCCTCGCAATCTTTCTAGACATTAATCAAATAAATAAATGAAATTCGAACCTTTAATTGATAACCTATAATTTACGTGAATATCTTGTAATTGATTTCTGTTTATATTTGTTTTAGTTTTATTCTTTAAATCTTCTGACATCGAGAGGAGATTTAAGGGTTTATATTCGGAATTGATCTCTCGCCGAGTGCCGGTTTTTAAAAACGGCTAAACTCAATCGAGCTTAAAGATTTTGCTCTTGGGACATCTATTAGCGAAAAATCTCGAGGCTTAGACAATTAGCCGGTTTTTAAAAACCGGGTTTTCAAATCTAGCAGTTTAACAACGCTACTCGCTGATAAAGATGCAACCTATTTAATATACTTTCTTTCTTTCTTTCTTTCTTTCTTTCTTTCTTTCTTTCTTTCTTTCTTTCTTTCTTTCTTTCTTTCTTTCTTTCTTTCTTTCTTTCTTTCTTTCTTTCTTTCTTTCATTCTTTCATTCTTTCTTTCTTTCTTTCTTTCTTTCTTTCTTTCTTTCTTTCTTTCTTTCTTTCTTTCTTTCTTTCTTTCTTTCTTTCATTCTTTCATTCTTTCTTTAGCGAAGATTTTTTTTTTTTTAAATTTGAACACGAAATGAATTCCAGCAAAAAAACCATTTACTCTAACGAATTTTTTAGAAACCAATTCAACCCAAGAATCTTTGTGTAATAATATTTGCCTTTTAATTCATACGAAACAACATATCTATATAAAATTAAATATAAATTTTAAGAGTAAAATTCGAAATATTTTTATGACTAAAATTGTCCCGAAATTCTCAGGATTGGCCATGCTATATTATGTGCAAGGAGACATTTCTGACTTCTTTATTCCACCCCATTAGACAACAATATAATTTACCTACATTGATCCTCAAAAACTTAATATATTTATTTCGTCATGATTCGTATAAGAACGCACGCAATTGTGAATATATATATATATTCTCCCATATATAATGTATAAATGTCCTCAACATCTTTTGATTTAAATTATATTTCTATATATAACTAGCCTTCCACCTCTTTGACTATTCTTTTAAAGATATTGTTAAAGCAATATATACACAAATATATTTATTAATATATATTATAAGGAAATTAATCGGATAAATAATATAAAATTATCAAGGATAGTGGGTTAAAATCAATGTTTTTCAACTGAGGTTTATATTTATATTTATATTATTTTTATATATTGAGTTATTAAGTTTTGGGAATTACATAACCTAAATAATCTCGTAACATTAACAATATACAATTTAAAGAAACAGTTTACGATAATTAATTTTATATTATGATTATTTATTTATGCTTTTGAATAATATATACTTTTACTTTCACTTCCCATTATTATTAAAAAAATATAAAAAAATTATTAGATTATTATTTAAATTTGAAAACGGAAATAATTTTATTTTTCCCTTGGTGTAAATAATGAAAAACTAACTTGACATATTCCTCATATTTCGCCAATATTAGAAACTCTAAGGGAGCTTGGCTTGCTTCTACTATCATATTATACATCCAAATCCGTCGTAATTATGAGAATCGCCCTTATAAACATTATCAGTGGGGCTCTTTCTAATTATTCAGGGGGCTAGAGTCCCTGAGTGTCCTACCTCCCTAGTGACCTTCACCAGTATATTAGAAATTTAGGTATTTTGGTTTAAAGTGGTGTCGTTAAACGGCTCTGATGCTAACTCAATTTTATCCAGAAAAAATAATTACGCGAGCCTAAAGATTTTGGTTCATAGATAGCAACAATGGTTTGGACATCTCCTAAGTAAAATTCTAGAGGTTTAGGGCGATATTTTTCTCACTAGAATATTGAGTAAGTCGTTTTTTAAAACCCGGCTAATCGGGTCGATTAACGGCACTAGTTTTGGGGAAGAGGAGCTTCGTTCGCTTCTTATAAATTATCGGCTGAGTATTATAGTGATCTATCTCCATTTTTTAAAAAAAAATATTCAGTAGAGCATTTAATAAAAAAGGTATTATCTTATATTTTAAAAATAAGATATCACCAATGTAGTAATGCAAAAAGGGATTATTCTCAATCATATTTTTAACATTTATAATATTGCGGAAGAATTCGCTAATTAAAAAAATAAAATTTTGCTGAAACGTGGATATAGAACATTATAATACTCAGCCGACCCTTATTATAGCAGTTTTTATAATAAATAATACATATAAACCTTTTCTTCTTTTATTTTTGCAAACAGCAGAAAGATTTAGTCGATGAACGCCTATCACTATCTAATCAATCCTTGTCATATTATGACAAAACAGAACAGGAAAATATTTCGGAGTTGGAGTTTGAGTTAGAGGAAAAATTGCTAAATTTGACCCTAAACTACTTGAAGGAACATCCCCTCTCAACCAAAAATGCCAATATAATCCCATCATTATCGCCTTCGAATAACGGGTACGCCGTCAATCGCAAGAGAAAGCACGGAATCAACGCTAAAACTACTGAAAACATGTTGGGCGGCTGGAGCCCCTGTTCCTTTCCTTGCGGAATCGGGGTTTCCTACAGGCTCCGAAATTGCGATACAAACGAGATCGAATCCAATGCTTGCCAAAGATATATGGTGGATTACAAGCTTTGCAATACTAAAGTAATAATATAAGATTGACCGAACTTTTAAGAGTTAAGTTGACTATGGTTAATGATATTGCTTAATTTTTTACAACAGTTTTTTTATATTTCATTTGTAATCACATAATCTGTTAAGTTTGACAGGTTATTAACAACCAATCCAAACCCCCCTTAACCCCCATACCTCCCGAACCTTTTAAATAATCCTAAAACCCATAGCTCTCTAACCTTTAATCCTACTCCCTATAAATTGTTCCATCTAACTTAATAAATTCTCCCGCGTAACATTTAAATATACATTAAAACACTTAAAATGAAATTATAATTATTGTAAGCCATGTAAAGAGATGAAGTCCGATTTTAGATATCTGCAATGCCAAAGCTTCGATAAGATTCCATACAGAAACCAATTTTTCAATTGGATTCCATTTCCCAACCTACAAAATCCGTGTTCCCTAACATGTCAGGCCAAAGGTCACGAGTTCGTTGTCGTGTTTTCGTCGAAAGTTCTAGACGGTTCTAGGTGCACCAATGACACCCTCGATGTCTGCATCAACGGAAAATGCAGAGTAAGATTCGTTAATATGATTTTTTTTCCCTAAAGACCAAAGGCACAACAAAAGATTCAGCTGTATAGAATTTTTCTCGGAGGGCTTCTTCTAATAAAGATCCCCTGGTAGCCATATAGATATTAAGCAATGCTGCTTATTGCTGGAAAACTGCGCTACAAATTAGAATCTTTATAAAGCAATTATAATAATCAATATTTCATGAGTGCGATCTAGAATAATTACTTTATATTTTTTTGGCGGGGTTTTTTTTTTCTGTTCGAAAATATAATATAATTATATTTTTTTTAAAAAAAAAAAAATTCCGCCAAAAGGATCGTAAATATTTTTTAAAAAATAAATTTCATATTAAAAAAATGATATATTTTTTTTTTATCGGCGAATTATTGACCTCCAATTAAAAAAGAAAATTAAAATAACCCCACAAGGAAAAAACTATAAATTTTGCCAACATTTATTAAAATTATTATAAGTAAAAGATAGTTTATATTTATGGATAAATTTTGTGTAAAGAGTTTACTTTATTTGTTTATCTTGAAGTAGATGGCTTGAAGGGAGTGGCCCAAGATTAGAAGAATTTATTTATTGGTCAGCTAGGACCCATAATCTCTGATCGATTCTGTATAGTGAGGCTTGGACAACGTCTACAAGATAGGAAAGAAATATGGGTATCATGCCTGGGAATTAGAGAATTGCCCTCCCCCCCCCTACACAAGATATATAGAAACAAAGTTCCTAACACTATACATAAATTCTGAGCTTTTTGGGGGGAAGGAAGGATAAATGGATTTAAATCTTTAGACGGAACAACTCCCGCCCTTTATGGCGGCCTTTTAATCGACTTCCAGAAGATATTCACACAACTTTTCTAAAATAAAAACGTTTAAACGAATTCGAATATACTATAGTTACCCATTGATTCCTTCGCTCCTGAATATATATATAAAATTTAATAACAAAACGAAAAATGACGTAGTTAGTTGGATGCGATATGAAATTAGGTTCCTCTAAAAAGGTTGACTCGTGCGGCGTATGCGGTGGCGATAATTCCAAGTGCAATCATGCTCAATATTATTGGGAGGAAACCGATTTTTCTGCCTGTTCAGCTTCCTGCGCTGGAGGTTTAAAAAATATTTCTTGGATATTCTACAGATAAATTTGATGTGTTGTCAATCGTTATATTGTAACGATGCGTTCATTAAAAAAGTGCGCTTCAATGAAAACAGCTGGGGACGCCATTTTTGATTACCCATATCATTTACTTATTTCCTATGTCTGAGGCAAACTTTTATTAAGGAATTGCCTGATCATAGAGATAATAAGGAACTGAGTTATAAATTTTAATAGTAGTTTTTAACATGAGAATAATTACTATATGGGTTACCAACATGGCGAGTCCAGCTGATTTTGCATTCAGCGACGATTTCTATGCATTATTATGAAATGCATCGCTAGTCTAGGTATTGGTTGTTAATTATTTTTATAAATTGTATCCTCGTAACCACCCCCTTCCCCTCCTCATTCAAGGCTATCAAATGACGTCTTCATTTTGCAAAATGCTGGAGCCCGCTAAGATCGTTCCTAACTTTTTCTGCGAACCCAGATCTCGGCCTGCACCCAAGATCAGAACGTGTTCCGAACACCATTGCCCTCCTAAGTTAATACAGATACAATTTTTTTATATTTTATTCAATTTCTTTTTTAAAAAATCTATATATCCATTTCTATACACTCTTCATTTCCCCTAAGATCTCTTGCAAAAATAGATTATATTATTCAAATTTTAACTATAATATAAACACACGCCACCAAAAAAAAACGTTAATAGGCCCTCGTGGATTTAATGTTGTCAAGGCCGCATTCCTAGTGGATCCCGACACGATTTAACAGCTGATCGATTCTTAAAATATGTTTATGAGATCAATTTTTTTTTAAAATAACATTAACATGATAATAACGTAAGAAATATTGGTTTTAATAAAGAAAAATTGATTCTCATAAACCGATTTTAAAAATCGACCAGCTGTTAATTCCTGTCGGATCGGGTCCACTAGGAATGCGGCCTAAAAGGCTCGATTCGAGCCTACGTAGACCTGAAGATTTTGCTAACAGATGGTACAGAGGTCTAGACAATCTATCAGCGAAATCTCGAGGCTTAGGGCATATTGAATTAGCGGTTTTAAAAAGCCGCCTCAAAACGAGCCAGCGGATTTATATTTGCTGCTTTATTAGAAAAAAAATATTTCTAATGTTCATATTTCCCAAATAAAACTGAATTGAACCATTTTAATAAGCGTTCAGATCTAGAGGTCTGTACCGCTTACGCCTGCTCATACTTCGAAATGGGCATGGTCGGGTTTTTTTAAAAAAAATAATTTTCAACGTTGAGCGGGTGGCGGACGGGTTGATAAAGTTTTTTAAAGTAATGGGCGGGCATAATTTAGATTACTTTCCAGGCGGAAATGAGCTGAAACCTGATTCAGATATTATAAAAATCGTTCAGATAGCATCACTAGTCACGTGAAAACAATACTAAATTCTATTCGCTATAACTAATAATACGTGATACCCTTATAATATGATTTAACAAAAATAATATGATTCATTTTTTCTACCAAAGATGGTACAGCGATGATTGGTCAAAATGCCCCGATAAATGTGGTATTTTTAAACAAAGTCGCCGAGTCTACTGTGGTCAGGAACTAAAAAATAACAGTTTGATTGATATTAACGCCAAATATTGCGCGAGTCCCGCTCCCGGAACTACAAGACAGTGTCCAGTCAAGAAGTGTTCCTATTGGAAGTCCGGGCGATGGTCTCAAGTAACGATGACTATCTATATTTTATCTTCCGCAATGTTTTTTAAAGAATATATATATATGTGAATAGGCATTTAAATTTAAAATGTAAAAAAAAAATAGGATTAATCTAGAACTTAAATATTATTTTTCAGTGTTCAGTTACATGTGGTTATGGTGTAAGAACCTTAGAACTTCGATGCATAGGAACTAACGGAAGATTTAGTACCGATTGCAAAGATGAAGAGAGGCCTAAACACGTGGAAAGATGCTTTGTCGGTGCATGCCCCGATCCCAATCAAGATATTACAACCTCTGCACGTATATCATAATATCCAGCTTTATTTTAGGACATATTGTTGAAATGACCTTACGATTCGACACGAATTTTCAAAATTTCTTTATTTTTTTAATAATCTTGATCAGGGAAAATAAAATCTATGTAGGGCTCGGTCCGGTTTATTTTTAGCCCCCCCCCGCCCCAACCCGTTAACTGTTAATTATACAATCTTTAATAAAATTCTTCATAAAACAGGTGTTTCCACTACCCATAGCTACAATTCTCTGGCCAAAGATGAACCGAATTCAGAGCTAAACTCCGCCATTTATAAGCTCGATAGTTTGGATATTAAGAGCAAAATTGATCGGCACAACGAATTGATCGAAAACAACGGCATATTGAAAAATATCGTAGAAAATGGAATTGACGATCCTCATAAACAATCTTTGAATGCTGACAATGCTAAACAATCACATGGTTCGCACGCATCAAAGTTATTTCGGAACATTTTGTTTAGTCAGACATTTTTGAGACCACGGACCAAACAGGGACAGATTGGGCAACCCCCCTCGAACCCGGGGTCATATGGACCCAGGGTGATTAAAAATTCGCCTCCGATTAAGTTCCCGCTATATGAATTTATATCTTCTGCTAAATAGAGTTTAGAATTCCTGAACCCTAAGACCCTAATTTGGGTTCACAGCCCTTAACTTAAAATTTAAATTCATTTTAAGAAATAAATGTCAAAATTTTTTTAAATTTATTCTAAAGTATTTTTTTTTTAAATATAAAATCAAATATGTGTGTTCGCGACAAACAATGACGTCATGTCTCAAATTAAATAAAAAATATGTCCGTCTTCCGCCAATAAATTTGATTGGTTTAAATTGTAACTGTATCCGTAAAAGCTTGTTATATTTGTTTAGACCGGATTTCAGGTTCAATAACCTTTTTTTTTTATCGAAATATTATTTAATTATTTAATTTTTATACTACTACTAAATTTAAAAAAAATATATGATAGATACGTTGTCTCTGATTGGAGCGAATGTAGTAAACCATGTGGAATGCTAGGGAGCAGGCGCACTAGAACTGTTAAATGTAAAGTGTATTACCCTTACACGCAAATAATGGTAGAAGTCCCCGAAGACCAATGTAGAGGTTTATTACATCGCATTGGCCTTCCTTCTTTCTTTCTTTCTTTCTTTCTTTCTTTCTTTCTTTCTTTCTTTCTTTCTTTCTTTCTTTCTTTCTTTCTTTCTTCCTTTCTTTCTTTCTTTCGAGATCTCGAGGCTTAGGCACTATTTTTTCTGACTGAAATGTTGAGTTAGCTATGAGGCGTCTAACAAACACTCCATCGCACTAAATTAAGAAGTCTAAGTTTTTAATGAGTGAGAAGGAAAAAAATAATAATTCTAATGAAGCCTGTCAAAATCTATCGAAAGGAAGATCTTAATTTTTAGCAATATATATATATATGAGTAAAAGTGGGGTGGGGGTTAGGGGGTTTAATTTTTTTAAAAAATATTTTATATTTATATTGAACAATTCCTTATTAGGAGTGTTTAAACCACCATCGCAAGAGAACTGCGACCTAAGGAAATGCAGTGAAGGAGCGGAAGCCAGAGATCCTAGCAATAAGCTTCTGCTAAATGCTCCTATGGAAAGTGCGCAGGCAACGAAAATCGCAGAGCCAGAACCACCGAAAGATGTCTTCTTATGGAAGTACAGGGGTTTCGCGACATGTTCTGCCAAATGTTTGGGGGGTAAAAAAATTTTATGCTTGCCCGCATAAATTTAAACATAATTTAAAAAAAAACCTATAGGAATACAGGACTCCATAATATTATGCGTTCGAGAAAAAGATGGGCAGGTGTCATCCGATGACAACTGCGATTCGACTCGCAGACCCCCGCCTTTTCAGAGGACTTGTAATGAACACGCATGCCCACCCAGGTACCTTTAATTTCTCAGCTTATTAAATCATCTTAATAAATGCTCAGCTGATTATAATTTTGCCCAATTCAAATCTATTTTAAAACAATTTCTTTTTTCGGATAATTGATAACAGCTGATTTCATTATTCAAATCAATCCAAATTTCTAAATATCTTATTAAATCGAAATTGATAGATGGGAAATATCAACTTTTTCCGAATGTTCTCACACATGCGGAGGTGGGATAAGCATTAGAAGTGTAAGGTGTTTGCATCAAACTGCCAACGGAAAGGACAATATCTATGTGGTTCCGCCGGAAATGTGTCCAGAACCTAGACCAGAATCCAAGATGACCTGCAATGCTATTGATTGTCCCCCATTTTGGGCTGTGGGAAATTGGTCTCAAGTAAAGTTCCATTTTAAGAAAAAAAAAATGAATGAAAAAGATAAACCATAAACCCCTAGAGGAAATATGTATAATCACGTCATTATTTTTTTTAAAATTGCTAAACCACACCGTATTTATAAATATTATATAATAAAATAATAATTTATAACTAATCACAAGTGCACTAAGACATGTACTGAGGGATTCAGGAAAAGGCCGGTTTATTGTCAGCAGGTTACGGCGAAAGGACACATAACGTACATGGCGGACGAGGGTGAATGTCTTATTACATCCAAAAAGCCGGATTCCATAAGAGAATGTAAGGCTGAACTTATTCCAGAAGAAGAGGCCTACTGCGATTATATGAAGAATTCTCCCCTTTTCAAGAATAGTTACAGTAAGAACATGGTACCTAAGACGCTAGATTTTAATCCCCTCACACTTATACCCCTAATCGCCTCGAACGGAAAGTCCTACGACAAGATTTTTAAGAAGTATCTTGAAAAGGTTACTCCTACTGCAACGCCTTTAAGAGGTACCATAGTCGGTGCGTTGCGTAAAGAAAAAGTCGATTCTAATGTGACAACTTCCGGTGATTCCGATAAACAGGACGATAACGATCTCGACGAAGAAGACGAGGAAAACGAAGAAGATGATATTGAGGGTGGTAATAATGGCGCTATAAATGATGAGCAATCGCCAAACGAGAGAAAGTTCGAAAGAGACAGTGCTTTTCAATATGTAAGCCTGCTAGTTCCTGGCGACAAAATTTCTCAAACGGCGGCATCCCAAATTAATGCCGTCAAAAGTCCCAAAAAATTTGTCGGGGCTGTCAACAAAACCAAACCCAAATTCGATAAGATGACGGTTAGATTAAAATCTCCAAGAGGCGAATTGCTAGTTCCTAGAGGTAGGTTAAACCCAAAAAGAATGATTAATTTATTTAATGTTTTTTTTTATATTATTCCTCTAGGAATCTTTCTCAAATTGAAATGCAAATCTAGACTTGACAGATCGCTCGAACCCGTGATATGGTACAAGGATAGAAAGAATATGACGGCTAAATGGCAGATGAGATTGAAGAATATAAAATTGGGCTCCAAAGTTCCCAGGGTGTCCATCTCGAAATTCGGCGTGCTCAAAATCAGGTCGGTTAAACTGAGAGACAGGGGCCGTTACGTATGTAAAATAGCGGATATCAAAAAAACGGTAGTGGTTAAGGTGATCAAGGCCAACAAAACGAATAAATCCCGAGACGGTATCAGGAATAAACCGCAAAATGACGAGGCGATTTCGGAAGATGAGGAATTGGACGAATCGGATTACAGAGATGACAGGGTAATAAATAATTTAATCGGAATGCGTCTAGGTGCTGCTTTTTAAAATTAAAATCCACTGTCCTTAAGATAATTACTATCTTCAGAAGCCTAAATTTCTAATATAGATATCTTAAGTAAAAACATGAGGCCTATATTTATATTAAAAATGGATGTTAAATACTTAGATATTTTATCGCGCCATTTAAATTACACGCTAATTAATATATGTATATCTAAAGTATCTGTCAGAGTTTTGGAACGAATACAAGGATGAGCCAAGCCTCTTAACAGATCGCAAGAGCTCAGAAATGATAAATCAATTAGAAAGGGACATTTCCACCACTTACAAATTTACGACGTCTTCCGATTCCCACGTGACTACTTATCCTAAATTTATCGAGTACCCTGAACTCCTAACATTCGCTAAAGGTGGCAAAGCAAATCTAACGGAGGCCACTGAATACAGAAGCATGTATGAAGAGGAGAGTTATTACGACAATCTAGCATATTCCACCGCGAATTCGAGATCCACACCAACAATATTTGTGCCAAAGATCCCACTTACAAATTTGCTAAACAATAATATCATTGTAAGTACATCGAGCACTGCCTCTAAAAATTCTGCGATATTGACACTCTCGAAAATAATATTGCCCGCGAAAAATAACAGTACAGCAGCCGATAGATCGGGAGACGACGTAAAAGGTCTTGACGTCAACTCAAACGCGTACGACGAATTGAGCCCTTCCCACTTATATTGGCAAAGTTACGGGTGGACTAAATGTTCCCAATCATGCGGTTCCCGCGGAATACAGATTCAGGTCAGTCTCTGTCATCGTAAATTAGTCATCGAAAAGGAACCATCAATTATGGTGCACGGCGATGACGGATTAACTAGTGACGTTCAAATGTTTGCCAAAAGACGGAAGGAACTGAATCGTAAGATGAGCGAAGATGGTAGCTCACACGTGATAAGAAAAAACGAATATGGTGAGCACGATAATAGGATTGACCCTTTGGATATCGATAATGATAATAACATTATATCTCGCGTCAATAGGGATAATCGCTTCGAGGAAGATTCCCTGTACAAAATAATTAGCGATGAGTATTGCCAAAAGGCTGGCTTAGTTAAGCCTCCAAAGTTTAGGCGTTGCGGTAGCGAAGAATGTCCAATCTGGAGATATGGTCTTTGGCAAGAGGTCAGGATCCAAATTTTTATAATTCAATTTTTTTTCTTTTCTTTTTTTAAATATGATTCAGCCAGAGATACAACAAAGAGTTTATTAGGGAAATATTATGAATCTTCGGGTATTAAGCCATTGAGCCAATTATATTTTACCATAATTCTTTTCCTTTGTTCAATCTCCGGGGGGAACGACTAATATCGTACAACCAATCATCGACGAGGTTAAGGTGTATAGATATGGAGTCTCCAATCATCAACTAGGTTAGGATTAAGTAGAGATATGGAATAACCAATCATCCACAAGGTTAGGGTTAGGTTGAGCTTATTAATTATTTAATCCTAAACTATATTACAAAGTTCATTTTTAAAATTCATATATTCATTACACGCATATCAAGTGTAAAGAATCTCCTTGCGAAAATTTTAATATTGCGGTACAAGAGCGAAAAGTATTTTGCGCTTATTCCAACGGTTCCTATGCCCCTCGTTCTGCGTATGACTCCTCCGGCTGTAGAATGATTGAAAGACCTGTTATGAGGAAAGAATGCTTTAATGAGAGATGCAAAGCTGAATGGATAGCTTCAACCTGGAGTCAGGTATATAGAATTTAGTTGTAATACGACTGCGCAATACCTTAAACGGTTGGGTTCTATTCAATTTAGTCACGTGCAAATAGCGAAGCACATTTTTGAACAATTGTTGAACCAATGTTGTGAACTAAGAAGACAATGTCATTTAGGGATCGGTATATCCGCCTATAAATCTTTAAGCCATGCCGGATATTTACTTTCGATAAAATTTTCCGACCCGGCCCAACTCGACCCGAATTTATTCGAACATAGAAATTAATTAATTTTTTTTTTTTTTGATAAAGTTTTAGAAAGAACAACGAAACATGAACAACGTTCATGAACGTGAACGCGTTCGATTTTTGTCTATGACGCGTTAAAACGAACGCGTTCCATTTTTTTTAAAGAAATGTTTACAGCACTGTATCTAACAGATATATATATTTTTTTAAAAAAGTAACTTTATTGTATAGGGGACTGATCGATGATCATATTTTTAAGGTATGTATAATCTAGGATTTTATTGTAAGGGAATAAAGGCAACATCAGAAAATTGAACACATATTTTAAAATAATAGTGTTCAAAAACCTGTGGATACGTAGGAATCAAAACACGGGTATTGCACTGCGTTTGGTACAACAGCACTAAATCCGCGGGTAGCCATTGCATCGACAAACCTAGGCCCGAAACTGTCATGTCCTGCGAAAATATCGTCCCATGTCCCGAAGGCAATACTAATACAAATTTATCTAATATTCTTTGATCATGATAATATTTAAGAATTTGTTAACATAAGAACAACTTTATAAATAATGGCTATTACTATCAATTATCTTAAATTAAGAAACAAAAATTGATTATAAAATTTAGACCGCGACGTTCTATAAGTTTTAAAAAAATTACTTAGATCTTTAGTTCTATAAAACGAAATTATATTTGGCGGGAATTTTTTTTTTATACAGTGAAATCTCCCGATGAATGCCGTGATCTGTCCAATTATTGTCGCGCAGTTAAAGAAATGCATTTATGTCACAGACCGGAGTACAAGGACAGAAGATGCTGCCTTACATGTTCTACGTCTTCTACACAGTACCCGTATTTTCTTTAAAACAAAGTTAACTGATACAGCTGGGGAAATGAGTTGTAACCAATAGAATCTATCTTCAAAAGCATTTATTTTCAACCAAATCAAGAAGTCATTTATCAATTTGTAATATTTTATATAAAAATACATTATTTTTTTTTTTGAAAAATATCATCCTAGTGCCAATGTTTGTTACATTGTATATATTATAATACCAAAAAATTATTTCAATAAATATCAATCATATGTTAAAGTCATTTGTATTTTAATATCTATGTTAGTATAATAAGTAATAATAAAAAAAATCAAATTCTTCAAATTTTTCTAGTGGTATACAAATCAATGTCTAACAGATCATTTTACAAATTTAATGTATTTTTAAAAAAATATTTATATTAACGTCAATATGTTAATTTTTTTAAATTTTAACATTTGATTTTGACGGAAATTTAATTCATCTCGGACAATTCTGAAGTCATTTAAAAATATTTATAAAATAATATATGGAAAAACTAACATATAAGCATGAATCCAGGATTGCTCAATAGGGGGATGGGCATTATTTGGCTGAAATTTTTCCGCCATGAATTTTATTGGAGGTCTTTAGGTCTAATTATTTTAAGTCTTTGGCTATATATTATATTTATATAAAAATAATTCTGGGTTTTTACGTATATTATTTTATTTTTTTTTAAAAAATATATATAACTTTTAGTAAATTTTTTCCCAAAATTCAATTTTTTGGGGGGAATTGGGTTCGGGAAAGCAGCGTGAAGCGATGAAATGTGAGGGAATACGCGCTTGAATTATATTAAATTTAAAAGTTCAAGGTAAATATTTTTCTAAAAAATCCAAACTGTACAATAATTTGCTTAAATAATAGGTTCTTACATGTAACATATAAATATAGATTTGATATATTTATTAGTCTAGATGTTATTTAATAGTAAATTTTGAGCTAGTGAGTAGCTTGTTAAACCATATATGTAAATTATGGGCGTTAATATGAAAAAAAAAATATTACATAATCTTGGAAAAGAAAATTTTATGGCTTGTGTATGTATATATATATGGATTTATGCTAAGCTAAGTAATAATCTTTCCTTATCCTTATTTTTGTATTCCAAAATGTTTGTTGTATTAACTCAAAATTAAGTTTCAATTTTTTTATATATAAAATTAGCTTTAATTTTAAAATATTCTATATACTAATCATTATTAATAAATAAAAACGTATTCCAATTCATTATTAGCCCTTAAAAAAAGTAGAGGTTTAGGAAGCCCCGTGAAGGTGTTTGCTAACCCCGCTATGAGGCTTGATCTTCATACTTTCTTTGCGAAATAGTATCGTTTCTTCTGTTGGTTTTAACTGTTAATAACTGATTTTTTCCTTAACCTTAAACTTAAATGTACAGAAATTAAAAATCACTATAGCCCAATGAATGAAACATTCTGTTGTGAGTAGACATAGATAAAATATATTTTGTCGCCAGATTTTCGGCTAAATCACTCCTATCCGATATTTTCAATTTTATCGTGATTATTTTTATTTTGTATTTTTTTAAAAAAAATACGTAGTATACGCGATATCTCTATATCATCTCCATTAAAGTTAGCTAAACACAATTTGAAAGCCCTAATTCTAAAAATCTTTCCAATGGTTCACGCATATAATTAGTAACAAAATTTTGGAAAAGATTAAAAAGTGATTGAGAACATTAATTCTCAAGATTTTATGAATGTTTAGAGCTTTATTTTAATCCGTTTAGTAGACAGTGGTGGGAAATTAGCAAAAAAATAAGCAAAAAAAGTGTAAAAAGTGTATCATGCCTGCCTGTAATGGTATAGAAGAACTAAAATGTCTCAGTTTAATGGTTAATATTTTGTATTTAACGAACACTCAATAATTCCCTCAATAACGTTTTTGCGAATCACGAAAAATAAAACCCAGGTTATAAACAAAAGAAAACTATGACGTTACACTTTAAAAGCGTAAATCGAGCCAAACTTTTTGAAGAATTAACTTTGAAACCTATATCAATAATAGTGCGTATTTAATATTAGCTCCTGCCCTTCTCTTTTCCTTCCTGCCTTCCCATTCCTTCCTTCCTTCCTTCCTTCCTTCCCCTTCCTTCCTTCCTTCCTTCCTTCCTTCCTTCCTTCCTTCCTTCCTTCCTTCCTTCCTTCCTTCCTTCCTTCCTTCCTTCCTTCAAATCATATCGTTAATCTATTTTTTTGAAAATTATATTTTGAAATATGAGACTCGACTCTGACTGTAGCCTTTTATAAATTTAATAGAACTAGAGCATTAATTAAGAGTAGAATAGTTATACCTTGTGTCATCTATGCAAAAATTTGATACTTAAGAATGAATTGGTTTGCGGTTTAAATACATTTAGATTTTTTGTCGAAATTGTCGACGAAGACCACACATACATAGTGATTTAAAAATTGTAATTTTTTTGTAATATTATTATTGGTTCATGATCAACTTCGTTACAATTCGATAAAATTAAATCTTTATTTTATATTTTACGTGCAAATTACATCATTTCAAATTATACATTTTTAATTATTACGACAAATCAAAATAAAATCGTGAAATAACAATTATACGCAAACTGCATCGCCATTTTATTTCTACGATAGACTTGAGAATAGAGTGAAGCTGGTTGCTTTTTTACATTTTTCGGGTGTTAGGTCGGAAAACGTCGTGTTGGGATATGGAATTCATGGGGAATTTCTAGATCTATCAATTATTGATCATTTACTAAGGGCGGCTATTTAAATTTTAAAAAAATCTGAATTGCCAGGAATTGTATTTCAGCATGTATTGAGTACCCAAAATTGTAAATTTCAAACAATTTTGCCAATACGACATATATAAGACAAACGCATGGGAGAAGTGTTGACTCTAAAATTATAATATCTCCACGATGTGCGATTTTTTATTTTTTTATTATAGAAAGAAAGAAAAAATGATAAAGTTTGAGCGAATGAGGCTAAGTGAGAAATTGATTATTTTCAAAATAGAGTTGCGAAAATGGGATCTCAGATGGATTAAAGATTGTGAGAATTGTGTGCCGGGTTTAAAACCCTGTTAAAATTTTTTTTTTGTAAATATCACTGAACTGAAAAATGAACTACGTGAAATATATAAAAAATTCTGGAAAATCCAGTTCTTAGAAGGCTAAAATAATCGGATTGGGTGCGGATAAAGAAAAATTAAATTTGCAGAGCTCTACATAACATCAAAGTTAAACTAAGTATACGCAAGGAAATAAGGTTTTGTGCATGGTGAATTCAAGTAACAGGAAACACTTGCCATAAAGCCTCAAGATTCTAATAATATATGTCTAGATCTTTGTTCCTTCTAATGAGAAAAATCTTCAGACTTGGGTAATATTTTTCCGGAGGAAGTATTGAGTTAGCCGTTTAACAACACTAACCGAATCACGCATCGTCTCCGATATTCTATATATTATACCACCCCCTAGCACAGGACTACCTGCTGTTCTCTTTTATCTTTGAACCAAGATCTGTATTCCAGCCGGGGGGGGGGTATATGCAGTCATCTAGCTACTGGAAAAAATTATACGACGCTATTCAATATTTTATAAAAAACACGCGAAAAAAAATCAAAAACGTTCAATCCTATATATCAATACCGGTGTTGTTAAAGTGTCTAGATACAATAATGAGGTAACCTTATCTATACACCTTTAATAAAATCAACCTATATCTGAATCTAAGATGCTATTTTTGAGATATCTGTATCTATTTACAGATACATTTTGATATTAATTATATTTCTACCATTTATGATTTATTTAAATTCATTTGATAATATATCCGAGTTTATCTCATCACAAAGGACAAATAGGATCAATTTTATTTTATGCAAAATGGATGACGATACCATATGATAAATTTTATATTACAGTTTATTTTATCATCAAAACTTTTTAGATCAATATTTTTAGAACAAATCGTAAAAGAAATCAAAGAATTATATATATCATATTTTTTTTTTGGGGGGGGGGCACCCTTTAGTTGATATAAATATTGATATATTGATCTTGTCACTCAACAAATTTTGAATAATTTTTTTTAAAAAAAAATGACAGTCGGGACTTTAACCAATTACAACAAAATTTACATTCGTTAAATATAATAACAACCATTATGCCGTCCAAGAGATCCGATAGAAAAAATTGTATGGCTTTAAACGTGGTTACATCAATGATGAAAGTTTTTTAAGAATATTTTATTATACTAAGATCAAAAATTTTTTTACAATAATTTAATAATTACGTATTTTGTATATATGTATTATTAAAATCTAGCAATCATTATTTTCCAGAAATTTGAATTTTAACGATAGAATCTTAAATAGAGGATTATCCTCTCATTATCAAATACAGCTAGTGAATGCTGAATTATGCTAAATAATCAACTCAATAAATCTTGCAATCATTATTTCCCAGAAATTTGAATTTTAACGATAGAATCTTAAATAGAGGATTATCCTCTCATTATAAAATACAGCTAGTGAATGCTAAATTATGCTAAATACTCAACTCAATAAATCTAACAATCATTGAATTTTAACGATAGAATCTTAAATAGAGGATTATCCTCTCATTATAAAATACAGCTAGTGAATGCTGAATTATGCTAAATACTCAACTCAATAAATCTTGCAATCATTATTTTCCAGAAATTTGAATTTTAACGATAGAATCTTAAATAGAGGATTATCCTCTCATTATAAAATACAGCTAGTGAATGCTAAATTATGCTAAATACTCAACTCAATATTTTAGCCAGGAAAATATTGCCTAAACCCTGATATTTTGCTAATAGATGTCCGAACCTTTGTTCCTTCTACAAACAATATCTTCAGGCTTGCGTAACAGTATTCTGTATGAAATATTGAAGTTGGCCGTATGTTAAATTCCGCTCAAAAAGGAGCCTTTTGACAACACTATAACAAAATAAAATGTATCTGCTTCTAGATACATTTTGGCAAAATGTATCCCTATACGTTTTTGGGATTAATGTATCTGTATCTACACTCATTTAAAAAGTATCTTTTAACAACTCTGATCATTACTCCCTACTATATATACTATGCCTCGATAAATGGCAAACATATTTCAATTTTCTGATGAAAGATAATTCTTGAATTTGAAAAAAAAAACACAAATGAATGGTCAAGCTAGTAGTCAAGAAGCTTTAGTTGATGGGAGAGGGGATGTATTTTTTAGAAAGCCATTTAAAACAAGCTTAGGGGCCAAATTTGATGAAAATTTTTTTTTTACTAAGATTGGATAAGATTAGATTGGAATGGCTTGGTGTGACAAAGTTTTTCACGAATCATGCCCAACCTTAAAAAAAAATAAGTCCGAATGCTTGGGTTCCACTTATATTTAAACAGTTAGCAGATTCTAATGGATTCCAACACAATGTAGAATAATTTATATCTCTCTCTTCCAGTGAAGTATTTAGAGAGGGGGGGGGGAAGTGAATTAAATGACCATTTTACCTTCTCAATATTCTTCCCTTCTTTTAAAAATCTTAACCCTATATAAAAAAAGAATATGACACCTGTTCTCTTCCCATAGTGGGATCCTCTAAAAAAAACTAAAAATTTTATGGTTTTTATAATATATTTAAAAAAAAAAAATTTTTTTTGGAAAAAGTTAAAAATAAATGTATTAAGCGTTTGCGTTACATATTTTATAAACACATAATAAAATAATATAAAGAAATTATTCTTCGTTAAAAAAAATAAATTGAGAAATAAAAGCCCTTAAAACTAAAGATCCTTATGTATGTCATTTAAATCTAGTTTTTATAATTGGTCATTTTCATTAAAAAAATAATTTTGTTTCTATAAAATTTAAAATTTTTTTAAAATTTTAAATTTAATTTAAAACAAACATATATTTAAAATTTCTTTTTTAATCTGCAACTTGATTCATGGAACTTCTCATAATTTTCTGCTATCTTTTTGGCATCGTTAATAACAACCTTTTGGGTCAGGTTTTCTCGCCTGACTTATTCAATATCAGCTCGATAAAACATTTGCTATCCGAAACCGTTTCTTCCAACATGTTGGATTCCAAAGCCGGAAGTTCAGCCGAAGATGAGAAAGCGGAGAATTTTTTTGTGGCGATGCTGCCTCAAAAAATCCCTTTCTTCGGATCGATCATGAAATATTTTAAGGAAATGAACGATGACATACATGATTATTCATATGTTTTGGGGTAAGAAAAACAAGCTTAAAAATCAAATTTTTTTATATTTTATTAAAAAATGGCTATTTAATTATTATTCATTGCTGTTTAAAAGAAGTTTTTTTTAAAAAGCTTGAGTTCTTTAGATAGCGATCGGTAGCTATATACTTATCTTTATATAAAAAATTAATTAATAAATCATTCACCATAATTATATTATCTCCTTATTTTATTTTATTATATTTTTAAAAATTCTATCTTTATTTATATTTTGAAATTTTGAAATTTCGCAATTATAATAATATAAAAAAAAAAGTATACGATTAAATTTATAATTTATAATATTTTTTCACATTTTCGAAATGATGAATCTTAGATATCATTTTTAGAGAAAAAAGGCAAAAGCAATGTTGGAAGTAAGGGGGGGGGGCGGAAGGAGTGGTTTGAGAGAGAATTCCTAGAACAAGACCCTCACTCTAGATTTCGAATGCTTCCTGCAATTTTTCTTAGAACCAGTGAGGAACACCATCATCGACGTAAAACTAATCCGGAGATTAGATCGTTTCTTCTTTTGATTAGAAGTCGCAATTTTTTAAAGTAGTTCCATCTCTTTAAAAAGCATCCTTAATGCCTAAATATTGCCAAAGCCTTGAGCTTTCTGTAATAGATGTCCAAACCTTTGTTCCTTCTACAAACATAATCTTCAAGCTTGTGCAATATTGTTTTGGATGAAATAGTGAGTTGGCCGTTTTTAAGTATCGGCTCAAAACGAGTTAGCAACACTAGTGCAGTTGATGATTTGTAAGATTATTTTAGTCTAGCAAAAAAGATTGAGAAGACATATTTACTTTAGAAGCAAATACAAAAAAAATAATATATTCATTAAAATTAAAAATATTAGTTTTGTATAAAAAATTACATATTTAATTAGTGTAATCATATAAATAAATATTTTACATCCCCTCAGCTATTTTAAACTTTTTTTTATGATAAAATATAGGTAAATTTTTACGCAACAATATTTAGATGGCCTTCAAATTAGAAGTGTTTAGATATATTAAAGTTGGCATTTATATGGAAATTTAAAAACACACTTCTTTTCGCGTTTCAAAAAAGTTTCATAATCTTAATATATCATATATAAATATTTATAATATATATGGTTTAGTATATTAATTAGGCTAGTAACTAAGGGGCTCGTAGAATCGGGGCTAGTTGGATTAATTAATATTATGCTTTACAAATATGATATTATTATGATATATTTATAATAAAATAATATAAAATAAGTGTTCATTGACTACAAACTATAATACTATTTATTTAAATCTATTCTATATAATGATGCAATAGAATAGGAAAAAAATTATCAAAATACACTTTTTTTATAATTCTTTGTAATGTAATGTCATATTTTGTGTCATTTTTATATGAATTATTTGTTATGGAAATGATTTATGTAAATGGTATATATTTATTACAATTAAATATTGTCCATAAAAAATAATGTAAGAATAATATGAATTATTTCTATGGGAGTTTTAAAATATAATTGAATTTGAATCTACAAACCCCGGGTTTGGGGCTTGTTGGTCTAAAAATTTTACTTTAGACTAAAAATTCAATCTTGAGAAAAAAAGTATTAAAATATATAAAATATTTATGAATGTATATAAGGTAAAATAGGTGTTTGAAAGAAAGAAAGAAAGAAAGAAAGAAAGAAAGAAAGAAAGAAAGAAAGAAAGAAAGAAAGAAAGAAAGAAAGAAAGAAAGAAAGAAAGAAAGAAAGAAAGAAAGAAAGAAAGAAAGAAAGAAAGTAAGTAAGTAAGTAGAGTTAGGTTAATCATATTTAGAAGATATCATTTTTTAGACAAATTAGTGGTATAATTAATAGGTCTTTTTAAAAATTAAACGAAATTCATATAAATAAGATGAGCAGTTCAATTATTTTGACACGTAATATTATTACTTGAGTCTCTGGTAGTATAATATATATTTTATTTTATAATTTGTGGAAAGACCTAGCGGAGAACACCAGCCAAGTTTTTGCGGTCATCACGAATGTCAGAACTTTACTTTGATATGTAAAAACGATTATTACGAAGTTCGGCGCTACCCCGCCATGAACGTCATCAAGACAACCACCAAAGGATCCATTTTGAAGTGGGGATATTTGGAAGGCATATACAAACTTTTCAAATATGCCCGTGGAAGAAATAACAAGGGTATTACACAATTTCTTGAAAATTATTAGAAATGGCTTCAATTATTTTAGTAAAAACACTCCACGCTAAATTATTCTATTCTTATTCATCTGTCATATTCTATTACGTCATTTTTCACTTATGTTGAAATTCATCTCCCACCGATCTGATATTTAGTTGTCTCAGTAAATATATTGGGTATAAATTCTTTTTTTCTCCAAAGATGCTACTTTTCCGATGACAGTGCCGATCATGGTTGAAGAGAATAGGAAAATGTTATCTAAGTCTAAGGGTATATCCATTACGGAACCGCTAAACGAGAGTCTTGTAGTAATGCTATCGTTGCCATCGAAATATAAGGATAACACCGACACACCCCTGCCGTCAGATCCTCAAGTTTGAAAATTTTTTGTTATAGAAGGAACCTTTATTTTTATCAATTTACTATAGCTACATTATGGTAAATACCCTGACAATGTAGTCTACGTGAAGATGTTTACCGGGTTCGCCTTACCCTGGACATGGTCTGAGAAGGCGCAATCTTTGATCAAAGCTCTCGTTAGGCACAATCAAAATATTACCGATAAAGCATACTTGGCCTATTATAATAAGTTAAAATTTTTAATTATTGATACTTATATATACATATTATATGTATTAAGTCACAAAATTGCTTCCATTTGAAGTCAATTTTTTTAAAAAAAAAACAGCTAATTCATGGTTATTTTTTTCTCCAGAAACATATTTACCTAAGCTTTCGTCTATGAGCAAAATCTTCAGGCATGAGTAGCATATTTCTAGATAAAATAACTCAGTTACTTTTTTTAAAAAAAATTGCCAAATATGTGTCGATTTTGTATCGCTGCTATATATACCTTTATATTAAAATATTGAATTAAAGGCCCTCACAAATATTCGATCGTCACAATGAAATCATGTTCCAAGCTAAAGAGATCAAAACGGATGTTTCATATTGCCATAATTTAATTTAAATAATCCTTTTGAAACATGTGTGAGTGCTTTATGTTGACCTGTAATTTTTAGTATTAAATTATTCTAAAATGTAGGAGATATATAATTTTTTTATAAAAATAATTATTTATGAAATTTAATAAAAATTATGATAATCAAGATATTTAATTTAATCTGTTATCCTTGATAGAAAAGAACATTTAAATCAATAAAACGGCTAGAATATTTTTTCATATAATGAATTACTATTTTATTATTAAGTGTAACTTCGCCCCCCCCCTACTCTAGAGCCCTAAGCAGAATCCATCTATAAGAAAATTATAATTCAGAATATTAAGTTCCATCTTTTCCTTAGTTATTTTTATTTTGCGTCTTAAAAATTAACAAGTATTATATAGTGCTTTAAAGTAACGTCAAAATTATCGTCGTTACATTTTCCATTTTTTGAAGTAACGGTACGACGAGTAAAAATAACGCCTTTCTTTTTTTAAGTAACGTTAACGCAAAAGGTTATTCATTTTTTAAAAAATTTTCAGTCAAGATTGTCAATTTAATTAACATTGAATCAATCAAAGGATGTTATTTTTCTGTCAATTATACTTTTTCACTTGGCTTAAGAAATATTTTTTACCCAAATGAAGAAAACTAAGGGTACAAAGTATGAGTTTACACTTTTTAAGTGTAAATTTGTGTTCCCAACTTATATATTTTAACCTTAATTATAGAATAAACATTAGCATCCTCCAAATTGTGCAACCATTTTTAAGGAAAGAATTGCATATCTTATTATAATAAGATGGTACTCTTTCTACGACTCCATAAAATTAATATAGTCTCATTAAGGAGAATGGTAAACGATTGATGCAATCCACTCAATTAGGTAAATGAGTACATCCAGTTTTACCACGACCAATTTGATTTAGAATAGCGAATGAATTATTCCTGATAATATAATATTCAAAAATTGAAATAAAATATTATCAAAATATAAATTATGAACAATAACTTCAACTGTATATCTTTTTATTTTTGCCTCACAGAATTGCATTAAATGAAATTATTTAAAGCCATTTTTTTTAAATATTATAAATGTTTGCGTGGGAATGAGATTTCCCAAATGCATTTTTCCTTCTCTCTCTAAAATCGAAAAGCCGTAGGAACAGCTTCTATAACTTGTAAAATCATATAGCAAGCCATACAATTTTGGTCTATGAAGATTTGTCACATTCTGAAAATCTCTATAATTTGGATTTATCACAAGACTCGTAAAATCTGCGGCCATTCTCCTTAATTTAATTATTTTCTCCTTTTTACCTTTCACTCTTTTCTGGTGGTAAGCTCCTTCAATATCTCTCTCCACTTTACCTTATTCATGCTATCTCTTTTATCTAATTACTATTTCTTCACATTGGCTCTAACATTATGGCCCTATTGAAGTTTTGGCCTTCCTCTTTTACATTTGCCCATCACTTCCAAACTCTTACCCTTGTTTCCTGTAAAGTTTTAGTGTTGTTGAACGGCTCTGTTTGAGCCGATTTTTAAAAACGGCTAACTCAACATTTTAGCCAGGAAGAAGCCTAAGCCGAGATTTGGACAATAGATGTTCAATCCTATGTGCCATCCATGAAAAAAATCTCTAGACTTTCACAATATTTATATGGATAAAATATCGATATAGCCTTTTTTAAACGGCTATAATTTGCCTTTTATCAACACACATAGTTTATAGGCCTTCTCAATGTGTGATCATACCATCTAAATCTGTTCACCATTATGTTAGTCTTAATAGGCACTACCTTGATTCTTAGTATTTTTTGTACTTCGCACCTTATCCTTTCTACCCCGCGATGATTCTCAGCATTCTCATCTACATAGTTCGTAGACTTCTCTCGTATGATTCTTTGGTTGACCATTTTCCCGAACTATATAGAATAGTCGGTTGTACTATGGAACTGTAAATTTTTCCTTTATGTGTGGGATTATTTTGTCAAAGAGCACTCCAGATAGAGATCTCCACTTTAACCACCCTTGATTAATTTTACTCTTTATCTCTTTCTCTATTGTGCCGTTTGTTTGTACAGTGGAGCCCAAATATTTACAGCTTTCAATTGCCGATATTCAATTTATATAAATGCTCTGTGTTTCATCTCCTATCACCATACAATCCGTCTTATCTCTGTTTACTTTTAGTCCCTGATTTTCTAGGATATTTATCCAACTCACTTATCTTCTTTCATTTCATTCTTGCAATTCGGCAAGTAACACAATATCATCTGCAAATATCATATTCCACAGGACTGTTTGCGGTATAGACTGTGATAATACATTTATCACTGTTATAAAGTGAAGGGGGCTGAGAGCCAACCCTTGATGACTCTTTCGGCTATTGTGAAGCCTCCTGAAGTACCAGTTGTGCTACGGTCCATTGTATGGCCCTTATACACATCCTGTATTATTCTTATATATTTTTGGGAACCTTTTTGTGGCGTAACGCTTACCAGATATGTTTTCTTGAGATTCTATCAAAAGCATTTTCCGGATCGAGAACGACCATGTGTAGTATTTTGTCCTTTTCTCTTGGGAATGAAGCTGATCTTACTTCCTGTCTGAGAAAAGACCTTGACAAAGAAAAGGCAGACTTGGTTCCTTTAAAAACAATACCCCCGTGCAGATTATTTTCTAATAAATATTTATTTTTTTTAAAAAAAATATAAGATGAAGGTCTAATGAAGACACTTTTGATGATAAACTAAACTTTTTTTTCAAATAAGGGTTATTGTTTGATTTTTTAAATTCATCCCAATTGGAAATTTTAATAATACAACCCTCCCATCCTTCGCGCCAGTCGGTATTTAGCATGGAGAAAGAGTGTTGTGCTTAGCTTAGCACTAAGCACTCTCGTTTATCTGATAAAAAAGATAAATTATTATAAAAAGTATCTTATTAGATATTATTTTTTCGCATAATTTTATTTAATTTTTTTTAAGTAACGAGTACTCAGTTACATTTTTTTAATAGCCTATACGTTCTTTTTTTTTCAGATGTAACGAATAACTTACGCGTTTCATTTTTGAAGTAACGTTTATATCACTAGTATTATATAATCTATTCTATCTATCAACGACCCAAGAAATTGACCGTCAGATTGGAAGCAATAATTTTTTAGATCCATCAATATTTGATACTAAATTTTTTTAGTAAAGTAGATATAATTTATGTTGGTATGATCTAACTTGTTCGTATTTTTTTTAAAAAAATTTCATTTTGTCAAATAAATTGATATATCGAGGAGCTGATATTATTTAATTTGTACAACTTGATTAAAAATCTCGTCCGCATTTTATTTGATTCTTCTCCATGCAAGGCAATATTGCTTAGGTACCAAAGTAAAATAGATTTTCTAAAGATAAGTAAGTATTCACTATGTTCATCTTTTGAAATCTGGGGGTCTAAAAATGCAACCAATAACTTCTAAAAAATAAAACAATTTATACAAAAAAAAATTAAATATCTTTTAGATCAGTGATTGAATTCTAAGATCCAATTTATAACATATGTTTAAAGAGAGATATATCAATGAGAGATTGGCCAGGCCAGGTCCGTAACGACCCGTTAAGAAATTTAGCGGATTGCTCACCAAATGTTTTTAAAATAATTTGCCCGAAACCCGGCCCGGCTTAAAGCTTACTATAAAATCCCAAGTTTGGCCTTAGGTTTTCTAAAAAAAATTGAACAAGACATATTACTTTAAATTTAAATGACATAATATCATATAAAAAAGAATTGATAAATGAAATTTCCCAAGCACCAAAATATAGCTGCAAATTAAAATTTATTTAGCACGTATTAAGCTACTGAGTAGATCATAAATATCGAAAGAATTTAACGCTTTTGTTCTTTGATTCTTTTCGGATATAAACAAAAATTTGATTTAATTAATTACCATAATCATTTTTTATGAATATAATATTAACCAACCTCTTATTTTCTGCAAAAGAAATGGCAGAAGTCCTTTAAACAAAATACGCTGGCCTTGCAAATAATCTTCATATCAATAGTCACCAAAACCTTAAGGAATGTTCAGAAATACCCTCAATTTTATTAAAACCGTAGGCAAAAAAGGGAGACAGATTATAATCCCAATGAAGGATACTAGATTCGTCAGCTAATTTCTCCCGGAAATTGTCCGATCCACTTTTTCAACCATTCCCTCCTCTCTATGGTGACATGTTCCTACTTTTTTAAAAAAAAAATTTTTTAATTTAATGCACATATTGGTTTTTTTTTAAATTTTAATTTAATATAAATAAATGTCTTATATTTTTTAACACAAAAAAATTTTTTATTAAATTTTTAATAATAATTGTTTTTGAAAATTTTCATATGATGGACAGGAATGCTTGGCAGTTAATACGGCATTAGCTTTATTAAAAATGCTCTCTATAGGGGCAGAAGAGGGGATTGTAGTTTTATACTTAGTAAACAACTAACGCCAGGAATTTATTAAAAACATTTATTGTTTTAACCTTTGCTTAATTGAGATTAGTTATCCTCCAATCCATTATCTACTACCTCATCAAAAAAATGATATCTCAAAATTAACAGTTTCTGCATTGTTCTAGGGTTTTCAATGTATATTTTAATAGCACTATAAGTTTATTTTTTAAAGGTTCATTCTGGGGAAGTTTTATCCATAGCCATTGAAGCTATAATCCTGTAATTGCAGAAAGAAGATATTGATCTTCATATATGTTAAAATCTTTTTAAAAAAATAAAATATACGTAACTTCAATATAGGATGTTACTGTAAAAATATTTATCATATTTAGGCCATGGTAATGTTAATTCATCTTTTTGAATTTTGAGAAATATAAACAATAATATTCAAATTAATGAACTACAATAATGGCATGTTAAAAAAATTGAAATGTGAAAGAAAAACAGCTGATTAAAAAAAATAAGACTTTTTTTTCTTAAAAAAATCGGATTAATATTAAATTTTTCATATAAATAAAAATAAATAGTGTATTTTAAAATTAACGAACGTTAAGTTCGAACGCTTTCGTCAACAAAAAGGAACGGGTTCTCATTCAAAGTTCGTCAAAAATAAAAAGGAACACAGTTCGTCATTTTTTTCAAAAAACCAACTTCGTACATGTTCGTTTAATATAATTTCATGTTATAAGTTTTGATAAATTATTTAGATATCATTCTAAGTATTAGATAAAAATTATTTGATTTTCATACGATATAAGATAAAATTAGATATACTGTAAATCTACCACACATAATATTCCATTAATACTTACAAATTATCATTATTTTTTTCCACAATATAAATTTTATTGACTTTTTCTTATAACACACAATAGATTAAAATTTTATTTGTTTTTTTGATAGGATAATGATATTATCCAATATTTTCATTAAACACATTTGAAAACCAAAACTCAAGGGCTATGCATGTATGATGTATTATTCATAAATATTCACATTTGGAATAAGCATGCCTTCATTCAGGTGAAAATTTTTAAATCACACACAGTGCAGGGAATGTAACAAATAAATTCATGAAATGCCTATTAACTAATCAATGGATTAATATTTATCAAAATTAAATTTTCTTATTTTTTTTTATTTGTATAGAATATGATTTTACCGAAATTCTGAAATGTGAATGCATTAAAATTATTTGAGATGGTGAGAATGCATCATACAATCTGCATGAAAATGAAAGTGATATTTACTTTATAGGTAATTCAACAAATAATAATTTTCCAGCTGCCACTCCTATCATAAAAATTCAAACCAGTTTTCATTCCATCAAATCATTTTTATTTTCACACTAATAAACTTTCACTTGCATGAAAATATTCCTTATAAAAATCTGAGAATAATTATTCACTGTGTCTTGTAATTATTCTGAAAATAATGCAAAATCCAAATACTCTTCATTCCTGATCAAACTATTCAATATAATAGAAGTGTATTTTGTGATTCGTTTCAAAAGGAGATTTATACCTTAGTAGAGGATGATATTGAAGATAATATATTTTATTCTTTAAACATTCCACACAAAAACTCAGTTTTTCAAAGGATTTTATTCCTCTAAACCACTATGACGGAGATTTTGGAAATTTAATGACAAATTTTCTAAGAAAAAAATATTTGATTTGACCTTTGTTTTCATATCATTAGGTTATTTTAATAATATTTTAGATTTTTTTTAAAATTATATTATGAGTGGAAATTTATATATGATTAAATTACTAATTTAATGTTGATATAAGTTATTTGATTTAACATTAATCACTTTCAGTATTATATTTTAGCAAAATTTGAATCATCAAACCTTAAAAACAAATTAAGATCTTAATTTAATAAAGTTTAACTCTTATTTACTTTGCTTATTATATTTGAAAAAAATGAAATAGGTAATAATCAGGACTTTTTTTGTAAAAACTTTTGCCCTCTCCCATCCTATAAATGTTCTTATAAGCTTTGTGCATATCTTTGCTTAGGATATATTTCTAAAAAAATTAATGGTTGTATATACACATCTTTTTATAATGCTCTTTTATAATAATTATTTTATTTTTTAAATGATTGTTTATTAGTAATAATAATAACATCATTGCTAGTGTATTCATTTTTTGGAGAAAATTATGCAAGGGGAATGTAGCTGGAATAAATTTTATAACAATCACAAGGATTTGCCAAGAGAAATTTTTGACCCCCTGTAGTCTGCACCTATAATGGGGTGCATATTGTATAACTATTTTGTGCTTTATCAGCAAAATATAATATTTCATGGTAATACATTTGTCAAAATCTATTAACCAAATTTTCTTTCTTGCAAAAAGTTTCGCAAATAATGACATAAATAATCCTTATAATAGGGCCTACAATATGGAGTACCTTTTCTAAAGCCAAATTAAGACATTTATTAGGGACCTGCAGACGCGTTCCTAGGCCCATAATATTACATGTCTTTGATAATTATTATTTTTGTCTGCCATCTTATTTCTCTAATTTCTAAATATTCCTTTTTTTAGGATTATAAGTAAGTTATTTAATTATTACATTTTAATATAATATTACAAAGCGAAGAATAAAACAAAGTATTGATAAACCAACTATTTGCGTTTTTTTAAATGGTTGCTAAGGCCAAACGGTAATTTTACTACATTGTAAGAGGCCATTTAAAATACATTATTTGCGCTCGAAACGCGGGATTCGAAACCGGTTTGAATCCGAATATGAAGCAGAGACCGTTAATTTGAACCCGGACCGATATTCGTGACGGTTTCTAAACTACTACACCTTTAAAAATCAAGATAAACCGAATATTTTAAATAAAATAAGATCGCAAAAATTTTTCAACATTTCTTTATTAACTTCGCCATAAAACTAGGATACCACAATAATATCATAAATTTTTAACCCCTTAAGTACTTCCATTTCTCGTGATTGTTATAATCAGTACTATATCACTTTAAAGTGATCATTTTATAAAATGATTCTGAAACCTTCAGTCGCTTCATTATAATTATTTTTCAAATATCTATATGAAGCTTTTGTTACATTTTTTTTTCATACACATAATGGCGACTTCTTATTTATTTTTATTTTATTTTTTTCAAAAACGAAGTGAAACTCCTAGCCCTGAATACAGAGAAAAAGGACATTAAGGCTATATTTTTTTAAAAAAATAATCTTATTTTAATCCCTTAGTAGTTAAAATATAAACCATTTGTGAAGGGCTTAAGGTGCCGTGCCAGTGAGAACCCTCATAAATTCTTCCTTTCTTCGAAAACTCCATATTCTTGATTTGGCAATCCTATATTTTTTTTTCTACAATTCTTCACTTACAACAGTTTTTTCGTTTCTAGTGGGCGTGTTACCAAAATCAAATATGGCCTCTTTCTTCTCATATTCTACTTAGAGGTTAAGCTATATAATCGGCTAAACAAATTTCTCTTTAGAAATCGTCAAATCGACCGCACTATTTTTTTTGTAACCTTTTATTAATTCCAATATGTTATTAATGAATATAAGAACAAAAAAAATATAATTGTGGTTAATTTGGTATTATAAATATATAAAATGAATTCCCCTTTTAGTAATATTAAGCACCCATTTTCCCTTACATTAATTCCAATGTGTTATTAATGAATGTAAGAACAAAAAATCGCTGTTGGTTAATTTGGTATATCATATAATAATATGATTCTTCTGTTCGTTAGTCTTTCTTGAAGGAGAGGTTGAGAACGAAGGGTGACTTTCCTACCTATAAGTTTTATATAAATATAAATAATATTATATAAAAACCTCAATATTTATAAAAATGGAAAATGTTTTATATTTAGGTCAATTATCAAAACCGGAAGATGCATTTGCAATTTCTTTGACTTAGCCGACCCAGTAGCGTCACGATAGTAGAGGGGTGTGGGGGGTACTAAGGGATCCTCGTATCTTAAACCCACGAGAAGTCCGCGTGAGGTTTTGAAGCACTCCCGCATTGTTTTAAAAAATGTCTTAAAATGTTTTATGTACCTAAAATTATTTTTGGTTCATTTTGAATTTCGGATAATTCATCTGTGAACATTTAAACTAAATCTTATTTGTATCAATTTTTATATAGGGTTGTTTTCATATTATTTTAAACAGACAAAAAGTATTAATTTTTAAAAAAAAATAAAATAAATAAAATTGGGGAAAAAAAAACAAACAATTTACATTTTAATAAAAGGAATTAAGTTAATAAAAGAATTTTTTTTTAATTATTAACGGTGGCTACTTGGGGGGGGGGCTTCCAATGAAGCTGACGCAGTTCGATTCGTGTATGGTATATGAAAATATCGGATCGGTTATTTTTGAAAAATATCGGATCGGTTTTTTTTGAAAAATATCGGATCGGTTTTTTTGAAAAATATTGGATCGGTTTTTTTTGAAAAATATCGGATCGGTTTTTTTTGAAAAATATCGGATCGGTTTTTTTTGAAAAATATCGGGCTCGCATCCCTCATTTTTTGTCCAAAGGAAGTTTTGTTTCTATATCCATTTCCGGTTTATGGTAATAAGCTGGTAAAAAGGGCAGATGTATCTTCATCCTTTTTGCAGAGATCTTTTACCCCCCTTCAAAATTTTAAACTCTTGCGCCATATTTAAAGTGCTATTGTAGAGCTAATGGGTTATAGTTTAATTTTTTGAGATGATTATTTTAAAATTGTGCATTTTGGAATTTTTTTTTTTTTTTGTTATTCAAAAGTTAGGCATATTCCTAAAGGCCCGAATTGGAAATTAAATTTTTTTACATTTTTATAACTTCGGTTTATTCGATACAGAATTCAACATCTGGAATAAAATCTAAAAAGGTTTTATAAATATATTTGAAACCGGAAATATTGTAGCGTATTTAATGTTTCGTATCAGCCTCACCTTGTCTCCCGTTATTTATTTTTTTATCGCCTGGATCTAATGGAGGATTAAAAGGAGCAAACTGACCCCGTTGTAATTTTGTTCAACTATCGTTAAAACAAAATCTTTAAAGCACTATCATTTTTTAAAAAAAAAACAACTTCTTCTTTTCGTCAATCCGTTATTTTAGCGCATCACATACGCTATAACCTACCGCTAATTTTTTTTATTAAAAAACCGTTCTATTCGAGAGTTTCAGTTTTTTTAAAATTAATGACAAAATATATTTAATTCCCCCCCCCCCTTCCCTTTTCCCCACAAAAAAAAAGGAAGAAAATTTTATTCGAAAATTAAAAGAAAACAATGATACTTACACTGAACGAAATTAGATCTTTATTCCTGTTATCTATAGCAATCTTAAACCATACCGTTGCACCAATTTTACCTTTCTCCGTAATTTTACCTTGAGTTTGAGCAGGTCCGAAATCCAACATGTCTCCTACATTTAAGCCGCTATTTATAACGACGGATTTGCCATTTACAGAATGCATAGCTATTAAAAATAATATCGAGTCAATTATTTTTGAATTGATGAGAAGAAAGAAGGAGAGAAAAAAAAATAGATATCACGATAATTACTTATTGGACGATTACGGGCAATATAAGCTTCCACAGTCCCTTTGCAGTTGCTGATAGTTAAAATATCCTTCGCTCCAAACCGATATACTTAATATTTTTACGATATAAATAATATGTTAATTTTTCGCGAATTATTCATGATAAATTTTTGTTACTGCTTGCTATAGTTCTCCATGTATTTGATTCACCTATCCCTTCTTTTATTACGCATTTATCGTCTGTATAAAAATGAAATGTACGAATTATTTTGACTTTCAAAATGCGCTATATATTATGTTTACTTTGAGCTTCTACGATCTTCAATCCGAGGAATGCTAAAATAGCGAAGGTTATAAACTTCAGAGACATCTTCGTGGAATAGTGATTTTCGGTGACAAATAAAGTTTTGGCTGAAGAAAGTGATTAAATAATCTATCGTTAACTTTGTACCCGTATTTATACATAACTAATTGCCTCTTCTTTGAAATAAAGTAATAATTTGATTTTCCAAGAAATTTTAAAAAAAAAAATAATTTAAATACTAAGAATTTCGTAAAATAAAAATTGATTTCCTGAGAATTTTGTTTATTGATTTTACGAATTCTCATAAATGGTAATAAATTTTGGCGGAAAAAAAAATACTTTTTTTTTAGCGCGTAAAAAAAAAATATGGCGCAAATATTTACTCAGCTACTTACGTCTTGTTTATATATTATTTATTTTTTTTTTATCAAATTATTCTGCGAAAATTTAATTACGCGAAATAACGCGAATTTTTAATTTTTCTGCGAAGGTATAGCTTAACGGCTCAATATTTAAATTTAAAAATGTACGTCGATGAAAACAGCTGGGCAAGCCTTTTTGATTACCCGTATCAATTATTGAAAAAATTTAAAACGAGAGGGCCAATTTATTCCTATGTCCTGACGCGAACTTTTTTAAAGAATCGCCCTGATCATCGAGATGATAAGGAAGCAAAGTTATCAATCTTAATAGTAGTATTTTAACATAAGAATAATTACCATATAAATTAACCAAAATGGCGGCTCCAGCTGATTTGTATTCAAGCGACACTTTCGAATGCAATTATTATGAATGCATCGTCAGTGAATCATTGAGAATATTATATAAAAAATTTTTGACCCTTCCATAAATTCTCTATACCAATGCTATTGTATTTTTTCTCGCATTTATCTTCTGGGATTCAATTCGAAACGGTATTCACCGTTATTAGTTATCAAGCCCGAACCGCCGTCTAAAATTTCATCTGTCGGGTTTGAATCGAACCTCTAAAAATACGGGTGAGTCGGACCGAACCTTTCGATATTTTAACTCTTTTACGGATGATTTAATGATCAGCTTTGACCGATTAAATATCATGAATTGCTTCTGGATATTTTTCATTCCAGTCGAATTGGTCAAAAAAGGCACATTTTCGGCGGACCCCTTTTGAAATTGTACAAAAATATTTCTGTAATTATTTGGATAGGTCGAAAATAAATGAGAAATCCTATTATTTTAGCTCGCTAGCACACTTGGTTCCAGAGATATGGGGGTTCATAAGTAAAGCAAAGAGCCACTTTGGAAATTGCAAAAATTTTTAAAATGCTTATATCTTAAAAAATATTTTAAAGAAAATATATAATATATCATATTGTAGGTAAAAAAAAAATTTGCGCCTATTTGAGCCTTTAATTTCCGGTTTACCTATATTGCTTTACCTGTATTTTTTTAGCTAAAAAGTGAGTTTATTTTCGAAATTTTTATTTGATTTTAATTGGGCACCTTTTATAAATGTGTATACGATGTCAAAATGTCAAAACCTTGACGACGCTATCGTCTCTTCCGAAATACACCTATTTACCAAAAATTGAAAAAATAGATGGCGCTAAATATCGAAAAGTTGCAACCCATTTAAACTTACAAAGACACGCCTATTATATTATCGCAAGACTCTAAGAAAGATTCTACCCTGGATGACCTAAAAAAAATTACCAATCAATTTAGATATGTTAATAAGCTCTTCATTCTGACAAATAACAAATATTCTTATACTTCAAATGATAATGTAGACATTGATTATCCCACATATAATTAATGAAGAGGTTGTTGATAACATTCATATATCTACACAATCAATAGAGGAATCACCCATAAAAAGTAAACGCTAAAGAAAAAGTTTTAACGACTAAAATTATAGCGTTATCTTCATCAGATGATGAAAAATGCGATGAAATTCTTGATACCTTAAAAATCAATTTCCGAGAGCTGTCGATTACAAATAAATATAGATTTTAACATTATTACTATCTAATTGGACAGTAAGAAAAATCTTAATCATTATGGCTTTAAAATCAAAAGGTTTAATAAAGAAAAGTGGCAATGAATGAATTTAGTAATGCCTCGGAATAAGGGGATTTTGTTTCTATAATAAAAAAAATGGTGAAAAATTAAAGTCTAAAAAAATTTGATTAATTTTAATTAATTTACCAGAGCTATATCTTAAATTTAAAGATATTCATTCAAATAATAAATTTGGATTCTTTAAATTTTGTGATCTTCGTCCTAAGAATTGTGCCATTCAATATGATTATTCCATTCATCCAAAAAACATACAAAATGAATGCTCAAAAATACACGCTAAATTACTTTAAATGAATGAAAATTTAGAGGATTACATATAAGGAAATATTGCCAAAAATTATTTGTAATCCAGCATTACCAAAATGCTTTTTTGATGATTGTGGTTCAATGCCCTGGATCTTGTAATTTAAAGGCCACGATAAGTGAAATATTATATGCAAGTGATATCGAATGTATCGCCTAGAAGCAATGGGTAACTAAAGATCGTACAGATCTTTTGACTATCCCTTCATCAACCTCCAATATTTTAGAAAACTCTTTTAGAAAAGTTAAATATTTTACCCTATTACACTCATTCATAACAAAGCTGCGAACGATATCCATGAATTCTCTTAAAATTAATTTTGATGCAGAAGAGTATATCGTTCAGGCACAGATTCCGCTGAAAATTATGCATTTGTGGTTCAAGATGTAAATTTCAAGTTACCATTCATCCTTTTGTGGTTTATTACAAGTCAATTTACTGTTACTAAAATCAATCTTGAGAAAAAAAAGTATCAAAATATTTTAAATATTTATCAATGAGAGCTAGATAGGTGTCTGGGCTATCATATGGTATTTTATAAATTTAAATACAACAATTATTTTTTGAACTGATCATTTTGACGTCTCCCCTATACTATATGATGATATAAATGGGTGTTTTGTGGTTCGACTGACGTCACAAATTATTACCTATTTAGACGTTTAAAATTAAATCTAGGAATTTTTATAATAATTTAGAGTTTGGTTAATCGTATTTAAAGGAAAGTATTTTTAAGACAAATTGGTGATATAATTTAAGGTCCTTTTAAAAATTAAACGAAATTCATCTAAATAAGATTTGCAGTTTAATTATTGTGACATATTATAATATTTATTATTTGTATATGTAGTATATATATTTATTTTTCATTTTATTAATCATATAATAAGGGCCTAGCGGAAAATACCAGCCAAGCTTTTGTGGTCATCACGAATGTCCAAACTTTACTTTAGTATGTAAAAACGATGAAGTTCGGCGCTAACCCCGCCATGAACGTCATCAAGACAAGCACCAAAGGATCGATTTTAAAGTGGGGATGTTACTTAGAAGGCATTTACAAACTTTAACAAAATGCACGCGGAGGAAATAACAAGGGTATTACAAAATTTTTATCTTGTTTGTGATCATGAATTTATACCTTTAATATTATAATATTTAATTATAGGGAAGACCCTCACAAATTTTTTATCGTCACAATGAAATCATGTTCCAAGTTAAAGAAAATCAAAACGGATGATTCATATTGCCATATAAATAATTTTTTGAACAGTTTTTGTTTGTATATGCTTCATGTTGAACCTGTAATTTTTAGTATTTTTTTTTTAGTGGAATTTTCATAATTAGGATATTTAATTTAATCTTTTAATCCTCGAATAGAAAAGATCATTTAAATCAATGATGCGGCTAAGATTTTTTTTTTCCATATTATTTAGAATAACTTTGCCCCCTCCCACTCTGCTTTAGAGTTTTGAGATCCATCTTTAGGTAAATTCTAATTCAGAATTATTAGTTCTCCTTTCCTTATCCTTATTTTGCTTCTTAATTAATAAATATGTAATATATAGTGGTGTAACTCTTCTAAAGGTACCGAGTAACGGTAACGCGTTTCTTTTTTTTTTGAGTGACAGCAACGCAAAACATTACTCGTTACTTCAAAAATGACTTTTATTTATTTTTTAAATTCTATAAATAATTTAAGCCGAGTTGTTCATACCACTTCCACATTTTACAAATTCGATCCATCTCCATGTATAAGGCAATGAATGCTGTGGTGGTATTCATTACATTAAATTAAAGAGAAGTAAAATATTTTCCTTTAAGATAAGTAATCGGTACATTCATCTTTCTAAAAAATCGGGGGTCTAAAAGTGCAGCCAATACTTTTTAAAAATATCAAACAAATTTATGAAAATTAGCGATTGGAATTCTACGATCCAATTTGTTGAACATATGTTTAAGGAGAGATATATCAGTAAGAAATTTGCAAAGACCTGTCCGTATCGGCCCCGTTAAGAAATTTTGCCCTAATTTTTTAAAACAATTTGCCCAGCCCGGCCCGGTCCAAAGTTTTCTATAAAATTTACTCAAAGTCTGGCCCGAAGTTTTCTAAATAAAATTGAACAAGATATATTAACTATAAATTTAAATGACATAATTTCATATAAAAAAAAAATCAATAAATAAAATTGTCCAAGCACCGAAAAACAGTTACGAATCACAAAATTAAAATTAATTTTGCGCATATTAGCCTCTAAAAGGGTCAAAAATGTCGAGAGAATTTTAAGTAATAACCAATGACAGACGATGTATTCATTAAAAGTGGCATCAAGGAAAAAACAGCTGTGTACGCCATTTTGGTTACCCATATCATTATTAAAAATTTTAAACGAGACAACATATTTATTCTTACACCTGTGGCAAACTTTATTTAAAATTTGCCCGATCACCGAGATAATAAGGAAGCAATGTTATCAATTTAATAGTCGTTTTTAACACGAGAATAATTAATATATGGGTTACCAAAATGGCTGGCCCAGCTGATTTGCATTCAACGACTCCATCAAATACATTATTATAAATGCATCGTCAATTTAGTTATTATTATTTGTCATCGGTAATATAAGCTTTTACCTTTGATTTTTATGGATAGAAACATAAATTTGAATAAATTAAATATCGTATTAATTTTTTTATGAATACAATAATAACCTCTTATTTTCAGCAAACGAAAAAGCAGAAGTCCTTTTAAAAAAAAATTACCCTGGCATCGCTAACATAATCTTCATATCAATAGTCACCAACACCTTAGGAATGTTCAGAAATGAAACCCTCAATTTTATAAAAACCGTAGGCAAAAAAGGGAGACAGATTATAATCCCAACGAAGGATTCTACATTCGTCAACTGATTTCTTAATCATTCCCTCTTCTCTGGGATGACATGTTCCTCTTTTTTATAAAATTCGTTTTTAATTTAATGTATCATAGTTGGTATAAGAATAATAAACTATCAAATTCAGTGTTTCATAAAAAATTTAAAAAATTAAGTATCAAATTCGGCGAGCCGTATATCGCCGATAGCTTTACATCGAAAACGCCGATGCCGTAATATTTTCATCGGCCCCCATGTCTAATTTATAAAAAAAATATTAATTTATTATAATGTTCCAAAATCCTACAAATCGAATTACAAATATCTATCACGTGATATCTTAAATGCAGCCTCAAATATGGAACATTTCCACTTTATTTATATATTGAAGATAAATTCTTTTTTTTGTTCTAGGTTTACTTTTTTCAAAAAGTATAAAATTAAGTTTTCTGATAAAACAATTTAGGGTTATACGCGTTGATAAGTTATTTAGATATCATTTTATCTATCAGATAAAAAAAAGGGATAAATTCCACCACTTAATTTGTTCCTGGACAAATGGAAAAAAAATGGATATGGAACATTATAATATTGACCCGACGATATTTACTTAAACTTATAAAATTCGTCATTAGAAAATAAAAAATAAATTCTTATGAATGAAAAGAGGATGAAAAAAAAAATAATAAAAAAACTAAAATATTTCAAATTTACTCGTTTCGCTGTTAAAACTTAATCATATTCCAAGGAGTAGGTTTAAACAAAATGGCTTCCTGCTGCCTAAAATTCTCCAGATATATAACTTTCGAAGCTAGCGCTAATATTTAAAAATTAGAGTGGTAAATGTTAGTAGAAAAGAACAAGTCTACTATATTTTTATTACTATCTGAAAAATAAAACTTTGTTTGTCCTTCCGTTTTTCTAAATAAACGCGTGTGTGGGGGAGGGGGGGGGGATTAATTCCATGTATCTTTGAGGAGATAGTATTTTCTCCTGTAAACGCTGGCCTATAATAATTTCAAAAAAATATATAAATACAATATAAAATAAATAAAAATTTATTAAATAAAATATAATAATTATTAAATATAACAGGGTTGGGCATTATCGCGGATATTTGTATCTAAGATACAAGATACTACTTTTTTAAAATTTTGGAAAGTATCTTGTATCCAGTATCTAAGATACATATTATTTAAAAGTATTTGTATCTTAACCAACTTTGTATTCAAAAAGATACAGATACTTTAAAAAAAATTTTATTGATTAATTTAAATAGAATTAAAATTTAAAATGATATTGTTTTAAGATTTAAATGAAAAATTTAATCAAAATTTAGATATTTTAAGATAATTTTTGATATATGACGTTGGTCGTCATATAGCAATTTGCTAACAATTAGAACTACCATATTTGAATCGTTTTATATCTGTCTATTTTAAAATTATGGAAGAAGAAATAGAATAATATGTTTATCTTCGTCTTCAGATGATTCTTCAACCGAAAATTATAACAATAAATTTAAACTAAGCATACTTAATGACAAATTTTTTGAAGTACTTCATCAAGATGATCATAATAAAGAAATTCATCGTGACTTTGGTATTGACGAAAAAGTTATAGCAACTGTTACAGATAACGGCTCTAACTTTAATAAAGCTTTCAAGGAGTTTGGATATTCTATGGAAGCTGTAGAGAATGACTTTGACATCAATGATGATGAATGAATAGAATTCGAAATCATTGAAAGTATTATTTAATACTTCTTTAAAATTTATTATGATATTGTAAATTTAGTAAAAAAATTTATTCAAATAAAATTATTTATTTGTTTATTTAAGGGTCTAAAGAAGCCTCAATAATTGCCTCAACACATTCTTTGTTTGTGCCATACGATAAGTCTAATTGCCACAACAGATGTCGAGAGAGCTATTTAGGATTCTCCTAAAATTCATCATCCTGCAATAGCTAAATGTATTAAGCTATGGAATGCAAATAATAGGCCTAAAACTGCAGAACTTATCAAAGCAGTTTTAGGAAAACAATTAGTTACACCTTGTTGCACTAGATGGAATAGTTTGTATGATAGTCTTCATAGTTTATTAAAATTTAAAGGCGAACTTCCTAAATTATGTCAAAAATTAGAATTTCCTAAATTAAGAGATATTGAAATTCAATATTTAGAAGAATATTGCAATATAATGGCCCCATTGGCTATAGCGATTGACAAAATACAGAGTGAAATCAACTGCTATTATGGAGAATCAGCTCCAATTTTAAATGTCGTTAAAAAAAATTACAAATTTAATTCAAACCATTCTACAATTTTGCAAACCATTAGCTATTGCCATAGAAAATTATTTAAATAAAAGATTTAAAAATATATATGAGATAACAATTTTAAAAGTGCATTTTTGGCAACTATTCTCATCATTCCTATTTTAAAAATCGTTGGATTGATGGTAAAAAAGAAAAAAAATACCTTCAGGATTTGTTATTACATGAAGTTTTAATTGTTTTTAAAAATAATATTGAAATTAATACTTCAACAAAATCTTCAATTGATGAAGATGATGATTACTTTTGCCTTAAAAGTACCACATCCAATTCTAATAATTCAATAAATGATATTGAAATTGAGGTCCTAAATTATATGAAAGATGACAGGTGGAGTATAAATATGTTAAATAGTTATAAATATATAAAAAAAAATTTATTAAATATAACACAATATTACCCTCCTCAGCCCCCGTTGAAAGATTATTTAGCTTTGCTAATATGGTTAATAGACCAAATCGTCAAAGATAGAACGATAAATCATTTGAAAAATTAATAATATTAAAAAATAATGCTGATTATTATTATTTACTAATTATATAATTATTAAATGGAATATCGCATTATCTTTTATAATAAATTTGTTATTTTCTACAATTTATTTTAAATATTTTTTTATAAATTTATATTATAGATAAGAAAATAAAGCTTTATACATTTTGATTTTGACTATTTAAAGTTTTTTAAAAAAGTATCTTGTATCTTAGATACTTTTTTTTTAAAAAATACAAGTATCTTGAATCTTAGATACTTTTTTTTAAAAAAATACAAGTATCTTATATCTTATTGAAATTTTTCTAAAGTATCTAGTATCTTGTATCTTAATACAAAATTTTATAAAGTATCTGTATCCGAATACAATTTTCTGAAAATTTGCCCAATTCTGAATATAACAAATCATTTTTTACCCTTTTTAAAAATATTTATCTTGCGCATTAATAGATGGAGTGTTGGGATCAATGGGGATGTATCAAAAATATTAATATCTTAACCTTGATATGATATATTCATTAAAGATTCATAAAATATTATTTTTATTTTCTAAAATATATAGAGTAAATGAGCATTAAAAAATTAAGCAAAAATCATTATCTTAGTTATTCTTCATATATGATGGTATCTATTAAAAAATAAGTAATAGGGTATTTCTGTTTTTGATTTTAAGGAAAAGTTATGTCACTATAAATGTCAAAAGAAAAAACTTTAGTAATTAGTAATTTTTTAATGACTATAATTCAAATTTTAGAAAATTAATGAAAAAAACTTGTTCATAAAAAGTAAAGGGATATACAATAAATTATTTACGAGGAAATCTAACTAATTGCATATTACTCCCTCCCCCAATCATCAAAATCCTGCCTACGCCTATGAGAGAAACTTAGAAAATAATATAATTATTTTTTCCCCAAACCATTGAGGTTTCCTTATTGAAGAATATATTTATATTTTATTTGTTTCTATGTAAGGATAACTATATCTAATATTTTCATCAAACATAAAACCAAAACGATTCAAGGCTAGGTAATGATGTATTACTCATATATTTTCACCTTTAAAAATAAATTGCACGCCTTCATTCAGGTGAAATTTTTTAAATCAAACATAGTACAGGGTATGTAACAAATAAATTCATGAAATGCCTATTCACTAATCATTGGATAATTTTATTAGGTATAATTAAATTAATATTTATCAAAATTAAATTATCTTATTTTTTTATTTAGAATATGTTTTTACTGAGATTCTGAAATGTGAATCTGAAGATGCATTAAAATTATTTAGAGAGGTTGGTGAGAATGCATCATACAATATGCGTGAAAATGAAAGTGATATTTACTATGTAGGTAATTCAACAAATAATTCTAATGTAATTAGTACAAATCTATATCAAAATTTTCCAATTAGTATAACTGCCACTCCTATCATAAAAATGCAAACCAGTTTTAACATTCCATCAAATCATCCCTTTTATTTTCTCATTAATAAACCGATCAAATCACCTTTATCATCAACACCATTAATTCGCTTGCATGAAAATATTCCTTACGAAAATTTTGAGAATAATTATTCTCTGTCTAGCAACTATTCTGAAAATAATGCAAAAACAATTAATAACAATACTCTTTTCATTCCTGATCAAACTATCCAATATAATAATAGAAATGTATTTTGTGATTGGTTTCAAAGTGAGAATTATACCTTAGTAGAGGATGATATTGAAAATACTCATATATTTAATACTTCTTCAAACATTCCATACAAAAACTCTCAGTATTTCAAAGGATTTTATTTCTCTAAGCCATTATGTAGTAGATATATTTGGAAATTTAATGACAAATTTTCTAGGAAAAAAATATTTGGCTTAATATTTGGCTTGACCTTTGTTTTCATATCATTAGGTTATTTTAATAATATTTAACATCAATTTAGTTTTTTTTTTTTTAAAAAAAAATATTATGAGTGGGAATTTAAATATGATTTAATTTTAAATTAATATAATGTTGATATAAGTTATTTGATTTAACATTAATTTCAGTGTTATAATTTAGCAAGATTTAAATCCTTAAATCTTAAAAACAAATTAAGTTCTTAATCTATGAGTTTAACTCTTATTTCTTTTGTTTATTATGAGCTTTATGCATATCTTTGCCTAGGATATATTTTTTATTAAATAATGGTTGTATACACATTTCTTTTGTTAAAATTTATTTTAATTATAGTCAATATATTTATAATTATTTTGTATATTAAATTATTGTTTATAAACGATGATAACATTATTGTTTATAAATGATGATAACATCATTGTTTTTGTATTCATCTTTTGTGAAAATTAGTCAAGGGGAGCGTAACGGGAGTGAATTTTATAAAAACCTAGATTTGGCAAAAGAAATTTTTCACTCCCTCTAGGCTACACCTATAATTGGGTGAGAATTGTATCACTATTATCATGCTTTATCAGCAAAATATTTCATAACAATACATTTATGAAATTCTATTAGTTTCTCAATAATGACATAAATAACCATTAAATAATGTCTACAATTTGGGGTACAAGTTAAGCTAATTTTATTTTTTATAGAGCAAAATTAAGACATTTATCAGAGACCTGTAGGCCCTACCCTAAATTGTTTATAAAATATACCCCGTCTGGTCCTTATTTAATCCCAAATATTTTAAATAACCATTATAAGCTATAAAAATTAAAAATAAATCCGGGCCAGGCCTAGCACACCCCTACTAATCTTCGACATTTATTGATCGATATGGACGATGATATTTGAAACAATTGAAATTCGTTATTTGAATATCGTAGAGCGGAAACGCTTAAATTTATATATTTTTTTTGAAAAAATAATGAATGACACTCACTACTCCTATTCGAAATCGAATAGTAAATTATTTGTATTTGATTCTTTATTATTCTTTTTCGATAAGTTACGAATACAATTCGTTCATAAAAATTGAATATGAATAAGAAGCTAAATGGCAGTGTTGTTAAAGTAGCGCGCTACTTTTTACAGTATCGGCAACCATGCCTTACTTTCTCGGTAGCGGTAGCTTTAGCGCGCTACATTTTTTTTTAAAAAAGTCATATTGATTTTAAAAAAATTCAAGCTAACATTATTGTGACAGTGAAATTGTTTTTAGAAGAAAACAATTTTAATAATTATTTTTCTTTCTTTCAAATGAATTGAAATTCGTTTTAGATAAGTATTTTAATAAACATTTTCCCATCTTTCAATATATATTCTCGGGATCCACATCCAATCAATAGTAGACTGGGTATTTAAAAAATTTTGTAAATAATTTTGGTATTTTCTTAAGGGATGCAAAAATGATATATAATTCGTGACCTTGAGCTAAATATTTATCTGGTAATAATTTGAGATTAATAAAACTAAGATGGCGCCCTTATCTGGACTTTGAAGGCCCATAACTCTCGATTTAGATTTCGTCTATTTAACCTTCATAACTAAGTGTCATCCATTTTTAAATGGCAGTCCTAATCTATGGAGTGATTAGTAATGGAGTTACTCAGATGATTTACCATCTTTAATTAAATCTAAAATACGCTTTGTAAAGTTTTTTTAGATATTAAATTTGTTTTTATTTTATTTTATGTTTTTCAAATAATTGAGCACTCCTTTATGCGTCATTTTGGAATTATATATGCAAATAGTCTACATTTTCATTGTGATAGATAGACCAGGGGCGCAACTCTAATATTTAAACCGGTATTACCCGTTATTATCGATCAAATAGAACATGAACAGCTAAAAAAATTTGTGACCGAAACCTGAACCAAACCTCTAGAGGTCGGTTAAACGGGTATCCTTACTGTTTTGTTATTATAGTTAAACAATTTTGATTGGTCGGTTAGTTAGTATGAGTCACCGTTTTCAGAATATATTGTAGTAGTTAATAAATAGTGTAATTTTTATCATAATTTATAAATTAAGTATATGATTTTTTTAGCAATAATGATCGTAAAATAATCGTTAGTTCCTTTATTATAGGGCACACAAATTGAGCGTTTACGTTTCGCCGTAATTTTTACTAATATCCCTTCTTTAAATCGATGCCTTTTTATTAATATCCGTCGATTCAAAATTTTAAATGAGTTTCTAAAAAAAAGGTTTGTCTTTAAAAATTATATTATCGTCTGCGTTCTCATTTCTTTAATTTCTAAATATTCCTTTTTAGGATTATAAGTAAGTTGTTTGTTTGTTTATATTACATTTTTATATAATATTACAAAGTGAAGAATAAAAAAGTGGCAAACCTGTTTGCGTTTTTTTAAATGGTCGCTAACGCCCAAACGGTAATTTTACTAATTTGCAAGAGGCCATTTAAAATACATTATTTGCGCTCGCTACGCGGCCTTTGAAATTCTCAATTTGTGCGCACTATTATAAGGGTTTTGGGTATAAAAATTATTTTTTTAAAAATAATGTACTTCCCTATGTATTCCAATAAATTCCTATGCGAAAGGGTTCTAGCCGGTTTTTAAAAGTTAAAAAACACCTTTCGATTTTATCATTTTTTAAGAACCGAATATAAAACCGTTACCGACCCGGGCCGATATTCGGTTTCTAAACGACTAGACCTGCAAAAATCAAGATAAACCGATTATTTAGAGAAAAAAAGAAATCGCGAAATTTTCCATTATTTTTTTTATAAACTTCTCATCTATAAATGATTAACTAAAATGAAATCGAGAAGCACTTCAATAATCTAACCTAAAAGATAATGAAAATTAGGGCCTCATCTGTCCTCCAGAATTTATTTATTTTTTAGCCTATCCGCTATTTACATATGTTCCGTGAACCGATCCGATACTGTCAATCACTTTTAAAAAAAATCTAACCACTTTTCTTTTTTTTAACCTTTTATCTTCTTCAAAAATTATCCTTTAATATCTTATATAATTTCACCAATAAAATGTTTTTTTTAAAATATTTTAATTTTAATTATTTAAAAAAAATAATAAAAATTTAAATATTTTTTAAAAAAATCGATATTGAAAACCGAACGTTAAATATTGGAAAAAAAAATGTCTCAGGTTTTGTTCAGTAGGTTTTGGATTCGGTAGGGTTCTGGTTCACAGCTGAGTTGAAATATATTCCAGTTATATAATGTGCCAAATGACTATCCTATATAAATTTCGGAAAAATTCGAACCGTGAATTATTTATCCCGATACAAATAGATATATATATACGCGTATTTTTTTTTCCAAAACACAGCGCCTGACAATAATATAACTAATTTTGTAGTAACTACTATTATTATTATTATTATTTTACTAAGTTCTAATTTGATAGAAGTGTTGAACAGTATAGATGATCCTGCAAATTTAAATATAAGAGATCGGATAGTCAGGAACACAGCACAATATATTATTAATTTTTAACCCCTAAGTACCTTTGTTTCTCGTAACCTGTTCTATAAGAACCTGTGCTTGCTAGAATTAGTATATCACTTGAAAGTAATTGTTTTATAATTTGATCTCAAACCCTTTTAGTCGCTTCATTAAAAATTATTTTTCGAATGTATCTATATATAGCTTTTGTTACATTACACATTGTGGCGACTTCTTTTTATTGATTTTTCGAAAACGAAGTCAAACTCCTAGCCCTGAATACAGGGAAAAAGGACAGCTGTCTCTGAAGTAGAACATCTAAGTCTATATTAAATTTCATTTGATTTTAGTCCTCTAATAGTTTAAACATAATCCATTCATGAAGGACATAAGGTGCCGTGCCTGCGAGAACCCCGCAAAAATTTTAGCAAGACTCGTCAGAGAATTTTTTTGGTGTCAAAAATTTTAACCTATAGAATCTTAGAAGATCATAAAATTTATATAAAAAACTTGCTATTTCTTTCAGAGAATTTTCAAACCCCGGGATTTTAAATTTAGAATTATTTCAAAAAAATTAAAATTATACACATAATTTTTAGAGGTTTATGGAAAATATTTTGCCGTATATGAAAGTTTTAGTGCTCACTCAAAATGTAACCTTTTTGAGTTTTATTTCGAAAATAATGTATTTTAAATGGGTATCATATCAACTAATAATAAATTAGGATAAATAATATATTCCTACATAATAATCACTGTTGGTTAATTTGGTATGATATATAATATAGAATGAATCCCCTATAAAGAAATTAAGTTTAATATGTTGTAATGAATATTCTTACATAATAATCACTGTTGGTTAATTCGGTATGATATATAATATAAAATGAACCCTTATAAGTTTAAAATGTTTTAGTGAATATAAGAACAAAAAATCACTGGCGGTTATTTTGGTAATATGTATAATAATATGATTGAATAAAATTGGTCATCAAATTTTGCAAGTTTTTTTTTATCTTCTTCTGCTTCTCTTCATTAGGTTTTCCTGAATGAGAGATTGACAACTTTGGTTGAGGGTCCTACCTATAAGTTTTATAAATATAAATATTATATAAAAACCTCAACATTTAATAATAATGGAAAAGTAGGTGGGGTGTCTATATTAAGGTTAATTATTAAAACCAGAAGGTACATTTGCAATTTCTTTGACGTAACCGACCCAGTAGCGTCAGAAGGGTGAGGGGGCGGACAGGGATTTGAAGGTAATTTCTAGAAAAAGAGGCCCAATTTTTTACCACCCTTCATTCCTAGTCTAGGTGAGATTTTGGTGCACTCCCGACAAAAATCCTTATTTTTAAAAATGTGATTGTTTTAAATTTTCTAGGTATTTTCGATTTAAAATTTTCAATAAATTTTATGCACCTAAAATTATTTTTGGTTTCACTTAGGACTAGTGTCGGATTCAAAAATTTTTTACCGATTCGATCCGAAATTCCACCACAAAACCGATCCGATAACCGAAACTGATATTTAT